CTGCTCTTTCTGTTTCATCTTCTCAGGACTTCCTTCCTCTCGACGAAAAGAGGCGCCTGCATGTGCAAGAGCGAAGAAGGTGCATAGATACCTGGCCCCGGTTCCTGCTGTAAGATACAATCTTGGCTCTTTCCCGTTGACCGCTCAGCTGAAGCCCCTATCAGTCGTCAGTGCCATTGCTCTCAGAAGCGCCCAGCATTTCCCCCAGAGGAGAAGATCCCTCCCCCCCCCCCCCCAGTGGGCCGGCTAAATCCGGGTCATAACTCTAAATTCGCAGCACATGGAGCACATTTCTGTGGGGAGGAAGGTGCAGGCTTTCCACGGGGGTCTGGTGGTGAACGACTGATAAGACGAAAAGTCGGGAGGTGGCGGCATATACATCACGAGATGCGAGGAATGGGAAGAGGGCGACAAGCAATTGCAATAGTAGCCGAATTTCTGTAGGTAGTGGTTGACAGATAAGGAATATTGCAGAAGAAGAAGAAAGGGAAAAAAAAAAAAAAAAAAAAAAAAAAAAAAAAAAGAAACAGAAAAAATATACGTATTTACAATAACAAAAAAAAAATGAAAAAAATGAAAAAAAAATACCACATAAAACCAAGCACAAATAACAGGACAAGAAAGGGCATGTCGCAATCATGAATAGTCATGAATAGTATGCAAAGCAAAATTTCCTTCGAATGGGTCCAGACGCATCGTCCGTGACGGCCACAACATTTCACTGCATGTCGGCGATGCTTCGCTGGACAGCTGGACACTCCTAGGGCTGCAGAACACAGCATCCTGCAGTACCACCTTTGCGTATCTCGGCATGACACACGGCCTTTATTTTCTCACTCGGGACTGTTTCTCTCTATGGCTCCTCATCACTCGACGGTATCGATTGGACGAGGTCATCTTCCGTGCTGTACAACAGGCGAGCACGCATGATACATCCTGCCTGCGTCTGCCGTGTGCATCGTTTGCCCAATCGTTCTCCTTCTGCCTTCCATGCCTGCCTCCAGCTCCCTGGCTGGACCACCTGTCCTACGTTCAACCTTGCTTCACCCATCCATTGAGCAAAGCCCATCGAGGAAAGGCTGACATGTTCCTGTTTCGTCACGTATCTGCCATCCTCTCCAGGGAGTATGCATACTGCTGCAGGTCTAGCACTGTGAAATTACGGCAGTGTATTTTTAGGACGCGAATATTGTGCTTCCCCAGCTGAACGTAAGATAGAGCCACTGGCGTGTGGGCCGCGCGCTGGACTGAAAACGGCTCATGGCCTGGGACTGGACAAATAAAAGGGTCTTTTGACGAGATTGGCGGCCCAAAGCACACGGTACAGCGCCACGAGAACCAGGGAAACGGTTCCAGAAAATGGAGAGGCAACGGCAGAGATGAGGTCTCGCTTTGACCATCGCTTCTGTTGCCCACGAGCCCACAAGGTGGTACGTCGGTATGTCCATTCCAGAGGCGGATCAAAATAGAGCCGCACAAAGAAACAGACTGTAGAAACGATTCTCACAAAAGACCACTCGGGCAAAGCGTGGTGACGAGAAGGCTAACCAGAGGTGCTTCCAGGACTCCTCGACCTTCATCCTGCCCGTCTTCTCGCCATTCAGGGAACAAACACCACCGAGAATTACCGTAATGATGGGAGAGGAAGAAAACATGAGAACCTTTCCTTGTAGATGGGAGTGTAAAACTAAACAAAAACCGAGAAAACCGAGTACTCCATCATGGAGTCAAGATCACTGGAGAACGGCTCCGTCTGGCCACATCGATGTACGTCGCCGAGTTGAAAGCGAAACGATGCAAGTTGGGACTCCCAAACAAAAGAAATCGACAGATTTCAGCTATTCTGGATGGGCGTTGGTGAATAAAGGAAGAAGAAGAGTGACGATCTCTCCGCTCCCCGAGTCGTCGTACCGCCTGTCCATGGCCTTCTGGAGTGATCCTTGGCCGTGTTCAGCGGACTCCCAGTCTTTGCAACAACTCGTCAGCCTGGTCACCACACTTCCATTTTGTCTTCATATTTGTCTTTGTCCTGCCATTCGTCTGGTATCGTATCACTGTCCCTGCCTGGCCATGGGTACATGCACCACAATGCCGTGCTCCCTCGGAGTAAGAGCGTAGTGCTTCCGGTGCAGCATCCTACTGTGTTTTGCTTGATGCCGTCTTCTGTTCTTGTGCTTCATACATCTGTACACCTCAATATGTGCTTGTGCTTGCGTATGGGTGCCCTTTCGTCACCGTGGATGGCCTGTAGAGACCCGACCTACGGCCCAGCCAACCGCATTTTCGGGGGTGCAAGAGTGGTGATACGGCTCCATGGGGGAGGCAGACCTCAAAAGGCTGGTAACCAAGCTACAGAGCCGAACGACGAGATCTCTGTGACCGTCACGGATCTGCATCTTGCACGACCGCACGGTAACGTAACATGTGAGCCGTTGTTGGCGACTGTCACGTAGGGTTCAACAAGGAAGTAAAGCAAGCAGTATGCTAGTGACCTAGACGTCCTTGTTTTGCTTTGTAGTTGTCTTCTATTCGGCGTGTACCTCGTCGGTCGTCTCGGCCTGCTCGATCAACATCTCGGGAAGAATCGACCGGCCACTCTGATTGCGGCGACGCGGAATTTATAGGTCTGTCAGTCCGGGCCCGGCAACGTCGGCTATGGAGCTTGGGCCAACCTCCCAGTCCGCATCAGAGGTCGCTGTCCCCGGTGCACGTCGCCCACAAGGCCTCGCATTGTCCGTGACTCTCATAGTTATACCCCTTCTGGCAGCCTCCCAACTCCCAGGGCGTGTGCCAGGCTGTAGGAGACCATGCCGGGCGTCGATAGTCGTGGACTTAGATGGCAAAGCGCCAAAGCAGACTTCGTATGTCTCCATCCCTGCAGCATATGTAGGCTTTGCCGTGCATTTCGGTCCTAATAAAAAACAGATTGGGCTGTCTTTCTGGAAATGGCTATTCGATTTGCTCCTTCCTGTTGCGGTGGCCCGGATGCAGCCGTGACGTCTGCCATCTGAAGAGGAAAGAGCCAGCCTCGCTTACCGTTGCACCTTCTGAAATTGAGAATTGTAGCATGCACATGGAAAAACCGAAAAACTAAAACGGGTGAAGCGTAGGTATCTCTCCATAGTTTATTGAACGGCCAAAGAAACATGGATTCTCCATCAGCACCACTTTCAAGTCGGCCATCTGAGAGTCAATCTTGTGACCGTCAACATAAGTCGGCCATTTGAAAGTCAATCCAGTGACCGTATACATATCATACTACCGTCTTCTTTCCACCAGAATTTCAAAAGACAGCGGACAGAAGACGGTGGTATGATGCTGCATACCGCATTAGTAGACCATCTGTCTCTGGCGACGAAATGTCGAGACACAGCGGTCAAACCCGCCACGGCATGGATGGATATTGGACATATAATCTAAGCCTACAGGACCAAACATCACGGGCCCTGCTTATCGGCTAGTGTGAAATGCCATGACACGGACAGGATACCGGGGGGAACTCTCAAAAACCTGTCTGGTAGTGCACATAATTATGTGGCCATCGTATCTCTTGACCCGACGACTGTTGGGACTGACGTTCATACCGTCGGGCGAGACGACGGGTGAGATACTGGCGCCGTCATGCTCCTGACCTTTAGTACATCTGATTCAGCACTGCGCAGATTGCACGACCTCTCCATCTCCTGTCTGTTGTCGATGTGATGGATTGCAGTCTGCAGTCGACGACAGAGCTCAACTTGTCCATTCGCAATGCAACGACGACCTACACTACAAAATGTGACTTTGACCGGGCGACAGCCACCCACGACACGGTCGAAATAGCCTACGCCTCTACGGTATCACGACGCCGCTCAATGTCGAGGCGAAAGCTCATACGCACACTGTGGTCGCCGTCGACCAAGCCGACGACTGGCAAAAACCACCGAGAAAACGACTGTCGATAGCAGGGAAGCCAACCAGGCAAGCAGTGATGCAGACGCTGTCCACGAGCGAGTCTGGACACAATGCGGGTCCCGGGGCGGTAGAAGAAATGGAAGAACAGCAAAGCAAATCAGCAAGCCCTTTCTTTTATGCATCCAAAACATTGTGCTCCGGGGTGACGACGGGACAACAGATGTATCGACATTCGCAAGGAACGGATGGGGGGTTGGGCATGGCGGAAGCACGCGTTTCCGACGGACACGGGCAGACGCAAACGGACATGGAGACGGTGTTTCGTTCGATGATGGAGGAGCAGAGGATCATGAGGTCCGGCAGCGGCCACGAGAAATTAGGGACGCTTAGAAAATCCAGACGGAAGGCGTGGTGACGATATGCACGGTCCGACAGAGGCATGTCGTAATTACCAATTCTCAGCTAGAAAATAGAGGCCGGCGCGGACGACACGGGAGGAGCCAGGAAACGCATAAAGGTTGGAAGTGCTGAGACGCATCAAGTGCCAGGGTTGGGCTCTGGTTGGCCGGTGCTGGACGCATTTGGGGTCAGATGGCGGAGAAGTGGGTCCCCTAGCGATGGGAGGCGACTTTCACATGATCGGCTACGCTGGGACTTTCACATGCCACGACAAGGTGAACATATGTGTAGGGCGGCAGCGTGCAACGTACAGCGATGTTGCAATTTGCCGTTCATTTGTTTCGACGGGCAGTGGACACATTGTATCGCAGACGGGGGGGTTTTGCATATTCACGATTTGCAAGAGATGACGATGGGCAGGACTTGGGGGGAATTTTTCTTTTGTAGCCTAACAATTTGCCGTACTTTCTTTTGTACAAAGCCCAAAGTGGGCGAGAAGAGAGAAAAGAAGACACAAAAGGATCAGGATCAAAACAGTTTACAATATAGAGTAGTAGGACAAAAGAGATGCAAAAATGCGAAAAAAGAGAAGAAATACAGGCCAAATGGGGGCCGGGGGGCAAAAACTCAAATCATATCCAACTCTGGGTGAGCCTCTCTTTGTAGAATAGTTTTGTAGGTTTCGTTTGGTCTTGCCGCTCGCTCCTCTAGAACTCCAGAGTAGGCTTGACACCCTTTACCCGGCCAATGACCTGGCTCGGGGCGTACTTGGGGATGACCTCGTCGTCGTGCAGCATCTCAAACTCCTCGGTGGCATCGCGGCCCATGAAGTTCATGATGGCCTGGGGGCCGCCCGGGTGCTCGTCCAGCCAGTTGGTCAGGTCCATGACAACACCCTTGACAACAACCCACAGGTCCTCCTTGGTGTTGTGCTTGGCAATCTCCTCCATGGTGTACTCCTTCTCGGGGATGGCGAAGGCAGCCTTGGCGCCCGACGAGGCAGCCGCGCCCGACGCGCTGGCGCCCGAGCCGCCGCCGGCCGCGCCGCTGCTGCCGGAGCCGCCCTCGCCGTCGTCGCCGCTGCCCTTCTTGGCCGACACCGACGAGGCCTGGCCGTTGCCCCACTCGACCGAGACCTTGCCCGGCTGCGAGGGGTCGATGTGCAGCGAGATCTGGCCCAGGCGCTGGGCCGCCGAGCCGGCACCGGTCGACTTGAGCGCCTTCTGGAACAGGTAGTTGCTGGCGGTGTCGCCCGCCACGCGGCCGTAGACGACGCAGCCCAGCAGCGACGAGCCGCCCAGGCGGTTGGCGCCGTGCACGCCACCGGCCAGCTCACCACAGGCGTACAGGCCCTCAAAGGGCTGCTTGTCCTGGTTGAGGACCTGGGCCTTGTCGTTGATCTCAATGCCACCCATGGTGAAGTGCAGCACGGGCTCCATCAGAGCGACGTGGAAGTCGTCGTTGATGTCGACGGGCAGGTTGTGGAAGAACTTCTTGCCCCAGGGGTCCTTCTCCTTGCCGTCGGCGATGCGGTTGTACGTCTGGAACGTCTTCTGCAGGTGCTCGGGCGAGCAGCCAATGTCCTTGGCCAGCTCCTTGCCCGTCATCTTTTTCATCAGGCCGCGGCCCGAGTAGTGGCGCGTGTGGAAGTCCAGCACGTTGGACGCCTTGGAGTTGAGGATGAGGCGGATGGGGAACTTGCCCTTGTCCTTCTCCTTCCACATCATGCCGGAGACGTAGTCGCGGTGGCCCAGCTCGTCGCAGAAGCGGTCGCCGTCGGCGTTGAGCAGCAGACCGCCCTCGCCACGCAGGGCCTCGGCAGCCAGGAACTTGGTCTTGGCCTTGGGGTCCTTGGGGTCGACCAGGCCCGTGGGGTGGACCTGGACCTTGTCGAGGTCGATGCCGTTGCCGCCAATCGACATGACAATCTTCTGGCCGTCGCCCGTGGCGTGCGCGCCGTTGGTGGTCGACAGGTCGTAGGTGTCGGGGCGGTACTTCTTGAGCAGCGAGGAGTTGGTGAAGTCGGCGGCGTAGCCGCCGGTGGCCAGGACGACGGGGCCCTCGAGCGAGCTGGTCTCGCCGTTGGCCTCGTAGGTGACGCCGTGGACGAGGTTGCCGTCCTTGACGAGGCCGGTGACGCGCGCCTTCTTGATGATCTGCACGCGCTCGGGCTCCTGCTCGGCCAGCTCCTCCAGGCGCTGCATCAGGGCGTAGGTGATGGCCATGCCGGGGAACTTGGCGTCGTGGCCGCGGTGGGTGCGCGGCTGCGAGTGGCCACCGAGGCGGGACACCAGGGTCAGGTCGAGGCCGAAGACATCCTGCAGCCACTCGATGGACGAGGCCGAGTTGTAGGTCAGGACGCGGATCAGATCCGGCCGGGCCTTGTCGCGCGCCGACTTGAGCGTGTCATTGTAGAACTGCTTGACGCTGTCCTGGATGTTGAGCTCGACCTGTGTGCGCGTCAGGGCGCCGTTGATGCCGGAGGTGGCCTTGGTCGAGTTGCCACCGAAGAAGCCTGGAGTCGAGGTGTTAGTTTACGTGGACCAACCAAAAAAAAAGACGAATCCAGACGAATCCAGACGAATCCAGACGAATGGTCTTCACGTACTCTGCTTGTCGAGGACAACGACGTTGCCGCCGGCGAGGTAGATGGTGTGAGCAGCGCTCAGGCCAGACACTAGACGAACGGTTAGCAATCCATGCTGTGCAAAAGAAAATCGCGTGCTGATGCGTTGTGCGCAGCTGATGCTGCCTGGCGAGCGGCAACTCGCGATGCGATGCGGGCTGGGAATCACATGTGAAAGAGGGTCCGATAATACGTACAGCCGCCACCAACAACAATCACTCTGGGAGCCATTGCGATGGATTGTGTGTAAACGAGGATGGAAAGGAAAACGACGAGAAAAGAAGCTCAGGAGAATGCCAACGAGAACAGTGGCAAAGAAGGTGGTGACGATGAGAGATGTGTGGAAGGGAGGAGGAGAGAAAAGAGGGAAGAGTTGGAGACGAATGGGGAGAAGAAAGAAGGAAAAAGAAAGAGTCGGAAGAGGGTCGAGAGTCGGAAGAAATACGGACAGGACGGTAGAAAAAGGGTACCAGAGCGGACACCAGGACAAACGGACCACAAGGTAGAAAAGTAGAAACGAAAGAAAATAGTCTGGAGAACTAAGAGCAGCAGCAAGAATGGTCGTGGTTTGGCCGCGGATCTGTCGAGTGCCTTGGCTACTCCAGGCGGAGCAGGAGCAGCGGCATGCGCCTGCCTCGTTGCTTCCCTCCGTGGCTGCCCTTGTAACACGCCGTCATGCGTAGCTTCTTCACTACGGCAGTGGGGCTGCCCTTGCTGTTTTTGGCTTGTGCTTGCCTCTTCGTCGCTCTGGAATTATGGGGCAATGGAATTGGAGTTTGGAGTTCGGCACTGGGGTTACGGGGCAGGTGCGATGGGGCGGTTTTCGCTTCGGAGCCTGTAGGGACCACTGGAGACGTGGTTTCTCCAGTAGAACTTAGTCTTAAGATTACCTGGCGAGCTAAGCCGAACTGCTGACACGCTGATTCGTGCCACTGAAAAGTGCACAGCAGAGAGGAGTGGAGCTCCAGAATGCCGAGGTCAACCTGGCCGTCTGACTTTATCACGTCACCTGCAATCACTGCAGGCCACAGGGCGGTCATTGTTGCCACGAGCGAGTCGTCAGTTCATCGGTTTCTGCCTCAGTAATCCCCATCAATATGTCAGACTATCTGAGGTGAAGGAACATAATGAGGGGGGCTTAGGGGACGTGTTTTACTCTCAGTGATGAGGAAGTCGCTACAAATCCCACTGTCTCGGAGCTGGTATTCGCTGTAAGATTCGTCGCAGAATTGCCCAACCCGGCAACCACACTCTGCTGCAAGCGGTTTTGCTCCTAGCTGCATGCCAGGGCCGCTCCTTCTTGTCTCGGTCCAGCATTCTTTGCGCTTTCCTTTTTCACTGTGGTCGTTTCCAGCTCGATTTTTTTAACCAAAAAAATAAGAAAAAATCATTGAACATCTCTCTTTCCTCGTTTCTAGCACGCTCGTTCCTTCCTGTATTTATCTAATTCTTGTTCCTACTCCTGCCCAACTTTGGGACGCCGGCCTGCCTGGGCAACATCCCAATGCATGTGTCTCGCGGTCGCTGTAGCTGAGGCCGAGCGCCTGCCCACACGAGTCGCGCCCCAGTGTACTCGTGTCTGCAAAGCGCGCAGTAGCTTGTGCCGAGGCCCGCTCCAGTTGTGCTTCTGCATAGAGCCCACTTCCCCTGGTCTCCGAGTCGTTAGAACGAAGCGCAAAAGTGGCCAGGCCCAGGGAAGGAGCGACCAGCCGGCATCGATTTTCAGGAACCAACCTCATATGTCGGCCAAACGGCAGGAGCTATCGTGCTGGGGCCCGAAGGCGATGGACGGAGAACGATATAAATAAAGTGTCGCATTAGATGGACAACCGAGCAACAAACAGCCTCAAAAGATGCCGCTCATATTCGCAGACCCATAGCATCGTAGCGATGCATTGTACGCAGTAATCTCTGTCGTACTGAGGAGGAAAGGGCAGGCTTACGAATCGGCCAGCCAGAAAGACCAGTCAGAAAGACCAGCCAGAAAGACCAACCAGAGAGAATATGCTTTCCTTTGACGGACGACGAAATCTATCAGAAGGCGCGTCAGGACAACCATCGTCCTGCCCTATCTATTTCATCTGCCCCTTGTGCTACGCACGTTCCTGGGATATATATCGTTCCTCTGCTGTCGCCTTTCTCTTTTTTGTACGGAATACATTGGGTCCACAATGCATGTGCGCACCTTACTGTAAAAACATATATTCCTGTCCCTTCCACCTGTCTGTCCATCGCTCTTGTTCTCACCTTGGCCTTTGGGAACTTTAGGTGCTGTCACGAGGGAGTCTCAATGTAGCAATTTTCCCGATGTGCGGGTGTTTTCACATGTCATTGTGAAGTCCGGGGTCTCCGCAAATAGCAACTTCAACTCCCAAACAACAGCTACCACTTGAGCAACATGCGCACTAGGGAAATCGCCAATCGACCCGGGTCCAACGCTGCCACGTAAAATAAGTGATTCCGTAAACAATAAAAATGACCGTCCATCCTCCATATTTCCGAGGATCTTTTGTCGGCGACGTCGGTCCGGTTTGTCTGTCTGTCATTTGACTGAAGCCTCAAGTGGAAAGGTCACCTGACGCGAGCCCAAAATGGTGTTTCTCCGCCAGCGTCTTCGGTCAGCTCACTTCACGCACGGAGTACAGCGTGCTTCTCTCGCTATGGCGACGGCACGCCTTTCGCTCTGGTAATACCGGGTGGAAACACTCCTACGTCTTCCCGATCGGGCATGTCTACCCCTGATACTCTAGGTGGACCTCGTTGGTTTGCAACCTTTTGTCTTTCGCCCGGTGTCGGCCCACTCAGTCCACGGAGCTGGAAATGCCTGTTGGCGGTGGATTCCTCCCGATGGCCAATCTGTAATATGTAGTTCGTACTTTTTTCTGTTTCTGTATCGGCCGGGAACAAGAACAGCACGGAGGAGGATCGGAGACTACTGTCCGTTTACGGCGTTTGTGGCGTCTTGGTGGACCGTTTGGGGGTCGACGCTACGACTCTGTATCTGACATTGTAGGTTGAGATAATGCACCTATGAGAGTCACCGAGGCATACCTAAACGACATGCTGGCAGAGTCGCTGCAAGTGAGGCTGTGGATTGCTGCAAAAGCCGGCATTTGTTAATGGCACGTGCCGCGCTGGAACGGTCACGTGATATGTATTGCCTTCGTTTACAAGGCGGCGGATCCCCACTCTCTGACAGGTCCATGTGCGTCATTGTCTCAGGCAGGTGACCACTGCCAGTATCGCTCTCATTGTCAGACCATGCGCTCTTGCTGTCTTTGACATCATTGGGTCCACACTACAGCTCCTGCCCTGTCTGTTGCCGGTAGCCTTACTGCCTTACTACGATCGCCTCGTAGCCGCTTGAGCCTTTGTTGGGCATCTCGCACTATCTGTCTCTCGCATTGTCTCTGTTCTTCTCCCCTCTCCCTGCTGTCAAATCGCAACCATGAGATTGGCACACGTGCCCATCATCGCATCGCTGAGTCTCGTCTCCGTCGCACAGCTTGTCGTGCAGCAACAGCCACAACCTCCTCGCATTGTTCTCGACGCTGTCGCCGACGGCGAAGCACCGCAAAACCCCCTCGTCATGCCTCTTCCTCCTCCGCCCCCGGCCGGTCCGGCGATCCCGGTGCAGCCGGGCGACGGCTCCGACACGACGGGCCCGCCGTCCGACACCGGCACGGTCATCCTGTCTGATGTCATTGGCCGCGACCGCAGCATCAATGTCTTTGCCGGCTTCACGCGCGACTTTGCACCCATCACAAACCGCTTCGACGACGCGACGCAGAACTCGACGGTGCTGGCGCCGCTCAACTCGGCCATTGAGGCCCTGCCGCGCAAGCCCTGGGAAGACCCGCAGGACTACCACACGCTGGGCGCCGACGCCTATGAGGGCAGCGACGGCCAGGAGCGTGCCCAGCAGAACCTGCGGCGGTTTGTGGAGGCGCATATTGTGCCCGTGAGCCCGTGGCCGGAGAAGCAAAAGGCCAGCGCCATGGCGGGCGCGGGCGAGGTGTGGTGGGAGACGCGCTCTGACGGCACGAAAGTGGTGAGTCTGACCTGAAAAGGTTGGGATGTACTGTACTTTCTGGTTTGTTCTCGTACTAACAGCTCAGATTCAACCTGGCAACATTGAAGTCGCGAGTGTCGCCAGCACGGTTGCCAATGGCCAGGTGGTACGTCGTCTTCCCCCGTGTTGCTATCTCGAGGCGTTTCATTCTAACCTACATCTAGTGGATCATCAAGGGCGTGCGCAATTATTCGTCGTAGTCGCCCGAGGATTTGACGCTGCCGCCGATGTGACGGGGCAGTGCGTGTTATGACGAGATGGACGTTCCTTTATACCTACCTTGCGTGTCTTCCGGCGGCTTGTGGCTTACGGCTTCCTTTTGCTTTTTCCCTTTGGCTCCGTTGGGTTTGGTTTGCTATGTCTTGCTGGCGAGTCTCATTTGTTCCTATGGCGTTGTCATTACGGTTGGGCTCGTGACTGCCTTGTCACCTATGAAGGAGGACAAAAACCGATGCTCACCTACGAGGAATACGATTACACAAAATGAATCTGTCTTTTGCGCTTTCTGTTATTTGAATAACCTTGGTTCGTGCTTATCTTGCTGGTTTGAATTGAACGGCTACGTTGTCACAACACCAAATGGCCCTGTTCACACCCCGTCCAGAATGATAGATTTAATATATATCCTTGTATCCTTGGGCCTTGACACAGTTATAATCGAGTCTCATACGTACTCCATACGCATCATCGTTCTGTAGCCTTGGTCATCACACTCACAATGAATAGGAACTAGATGCCAACTGGCAAATTAGAGAGGCCTCAACAGCGAGGCTAGATACTTCTGTACGGTCTTCAGTACCGTAGTCCACCATGTAAACAGAAAATCACGTGCATGTGTACCAGTATCACCACGTGACTAAAACTGGGGCACTGTCGCCGTCAACGGACAGATAACGCGCCCCTTCCCCTAGTCTGTTTTCTTATCGCTTATCGTCGTCGGGCCGGCAGAAAATCCAGCCCTCTCCTTTTGTGCCGTGACGCCAGGCTTTGGGGGAAGGTGCGAAGCTGGGGGCTGTTTCGGCCTCGCTCGCGCAAAACTCGCTGCCCTTTCTGGCTTCATTTCCTCCCTTTTTGTTTCCCCCCCCTTCACGCGCCTCTTGCATCTGCGAGCGACGATTGTATGCCGACCAGCCTTGCCACGAGCTCGATTCTTTTTGCATTTTGAAGTATCGATTTCCCTTTTGCCGTTTCGGTCGTCGCATCGCCCGCTGCGTCGCCCGCTTGTCGCTTGCTGCGCCGCGTCTCCCCTGTGGCCTCGACTGATCGCCTCGTGCGACTTTTGTTGACGAGCTTCGTGGGACGCTGACCAGTCGAGACCCGGGTGCCAGTCTTGACGGGCGACGGTCTGCTGACGAGGCACAATTGATTTCCAGGTACGTTGCTGTCTGAGGTCCCTCCCCGGTGTGGCCCTTCTCCGGAGGAATGGCCTCCGCAGCAAAAAGGGAGCTCTCGACCCTCGTCACAGCTTTTGTCTTTGCCACGTTTCGCATCGTTTTCTCGCTCGCTGCTAACCGTTTTCGATCCAGTTGCGGCCCATCGTGTTCTTCGACGTCCCTAAATGTATCTCTCCACGCCAGTTTTCTGCGTCGGCGAGTTATGACCAACACGCCTACCTACCATTTGACCGAGATCGCGAGCACGAGCCAGAGCTCAACCATCCGCGACGCAAGCTCCCTTTAGCTGCCCAACAACATCACATACCCCCCCACACACAGCCGCTCCCAGACACCATGGCGCATCGTGACCGCGAACGCGATCCGCGCGAACTGCAGCGTGAGCCGTACCCGCCCCAACCGCCGCCGCCCTCACAGCAGCAGCAGGGCCAGCCCCAAGGCCAGCAGCCGCACCACAGCTCGGCCGGCTCCATCCCCATCCACCAGCCTGTGGCGTCGCGCATCTCGGGTGCCATCCACAGCCCCAACGGGCTTTTGGCCAACCATGGCGCCGGGGCCGGCGCTGCACCTCCTCCGCCCCAGCAGCAGCAACAGCCGCACGGCGGACCTCCTCCTCCGCCGTCGGGCTATGGCGGCCCGCCGCCGCCCATGCACGGCGCTGGTGGTGATCCGAACCGGCCACACCCATCTTCTCTACAGGAACAGCAGCAGCAGCAGCAGCAGCAGCAGCAACAGCAACAGCAGTCCATGTACTACAACGCCGGACCCGCTCCGCAAAACAGCGCGATGGGCCCCTCCGGGGGACCTCCGCCTGGGTTTGGAGGCCCTCTTCCGCCCGACGGCCGGGGCGGACCGCCGCCTCCTCCATCGTACGGCGCCGGTGGCATGGGCCCTGGCCATGTCGGACCGCCGCCAGCTGGTCCTCCTGGACCGCAAGGCGGCCCGCAGAGCGCCCAGCAGCAGCCCTCGGGAGGCGTGTCTCAAGGCCAGCAGCCGATTCTCAATGTGCGTTTACGTGTTTCGTTGCTGCGAACTTTGTGCTTTTGTCTCTTTCCCTTTGTTGCGCGATGTTTTCTAACTCGAGTCTATTCCATAGGACGCGTTGAGCTACCTCGACCAGGTCAAGGTGCAGTTCCACGAGCAGCCGGACGTCTACAACCGATTCTTGGATATCATGAAGGACTTCAAGAGCCAGACGTGCGTCCTTCTCCGCCTTGCTGCCTTCTTTTCTGGCTGACGACCGTGCATCCCGGCTAACAATTGTCTCTCCCTAGCATCGATACTCCGGGCGTCATCAACCGCGTGTCCGACCTGTTCGCTGGCCATCCCAACCTCATCCAGGGGTTCAACACGTTCCTCCCTCCGGGCTACCGCATCGAGTGCGGCCTCGAGAACAACCCCAACAGCATCCGCGTCACGACCCCGTCCGGCTCGACCATCCACTCGATCGGGGCCGGCCGCAACCTGGCCCAGGACGGGCCCCACGCCCCGCCTGGCCAAGGCAACATGTTCCTTGGGCCCCGCTCCTGGCCCCAGCAGCCCCAGCAACAGGCGCCGCCGTCCCAGCACGTCCAGCACAGCGTAGAGGGACCTGAGGGCCAGTACGGCGGGCCGGGCCAGAACGTCCCTCCCCAAGGACCTGGCCCCTACGGCCACGGCGGCGCCGGATCGGCCATATACGACGGACCGCGTGGGCCCCAGGGCGGTCCTGGTGGCCCCGGTGGCCCCGGTGGCCCCGGCCAGGCTGCTGTGCAGCCGCCTGTGCCGAGGAGCACGCACACGCCCGCACCGTCCGGCGCTGCTGCGAACGGCGCCGCGTCTCAGCAAGCAAGCGGCGAGAAGCGCGGCCCTGTCGAGTTTAACCATGCCATCTCATACGTGAACAAGATCAAGGTATGTGTACCTTTTTCACTTTTGCTTGACTCGAGAGTTGTTTTGTCAAACGACTTGATTTTCACCCCCACTTCTGTTTGCATGCAAATTGTGCTTTCATTTCCATTACTTTTGTACCCACCACCTACCAATTTGCTCACCCGCCTACCCGCCTACTCGTTCACCGGTTGCTGACGTTGCCTCCCCTTGTCTCCAGAACCGATTCCAGGACAAACCCGAAATCTACAAGCAGTTCCTCGAAATCCTGCAGACATATCAGCGCGAGCAGAAGCCGATCCAAGAGGTCTATGCACAGGTTACCACCCTGTTTAGCGGCGCTCCCGATCTGCTTGAGGACTTTAAGCAGTTCCTCCCGGAGTCCGCTGCCCACGCCAGACCGGCTGGTGGCCGTCCCAGCGAGGACGTTCCTGCCGCCGCCGCGGCTGTCCTGGCCGCTCAAACGACGCCGCCCAGCCAGACCGCGCGCGACGGGCCCAAGATGCCTCCCGTCGGCAACTTCGCGCCGCCCTCCAGCACCACCAAGGAGAACAAGAAACGCCCCCGCCAGGACAAGCAGGCGCCCGCTCCTGTGCCTCCGCCCGCCGAGCTCACATCGGCCTCCACATCGGCCGTTCGCGGCCTGGCCCCCGTGGCCGCCAACAAGCGCGCTAAGCTTGCGCATAAGGGCGCTCTCGACGTCGCGCCTCTTGTGGAGCCCACTCTGACGCCCACCATGCCGGGCCCGCTCCCGCGTGTTGGCTACATCCAGGACACCCAGGACGGCCTCCACTTCTTTGAGCGCGTCAAGAAGTTCCTGCCCAACAGGACCACCATGAACGAGTTCCTCAAGCTCATTAACCTGTACCGCCTGGGCCTCATTGAGCTCAACGTCCTCGTGACCAAGAGCCACTCCTTTATTGGCGGCAACGCCGAGCTCTTCAACTGGTTCAAGACCTTTGTTGGCTACACCGGCGAGGACGAGGTCGTCGACAACCAGCCCGCGCCGCCCTCGGGCAAAGTCTCTCTCAGCAACTGCCGGGGCTTCGGCCCCAGCTACCGCCTTCTGCCCCGCCGCGAGCGCCTCAAGCGCTGCAGCGGCCGCGACGAGCTCTGCAACTCGGTCCTCAACGACGAGTGGGCCTCTCACCCTACCTGGGCCTCGGAGGACTCTGGCTTTGTCGCCCACCGCAAGAACGGCTACGAGGAGGGCCTGCACCGCATCGAGGAGGAGCGTCACGACTACGATTTCTACATTGAGGCCAACCAAAAGTTCATCCAGCTGCTCGAGCCCCTGGCCCAGCAAATGCTGACCCTGGCCCCCGCCGAGCGCGAGAGCTTCCGCATGCCCCCCGGCCTGGGCGGCCAGAGCACGTCCATCTACAAGCGTGTTCTCAAGAAGGTCTATGGCGTCGACAAGGGCGCCGACGTGGCCAACGACATGTTTGCCCATCCGTTTGCTGCGGTCCCCGTCATCATGGCCCGTCTCAAGCAAAAGGACGAGGAGTGGCGCTTCTCCCAGCGCGAGTGGGAGAAGGTCTGGATGGCCCAGACGGAGGCCATGCATCTCAAGAGCCTCGACCACATGGGCATCCAGGTCAAGTCGGCCGACAAGCGCAACCTGTCGGCCAAGCACCTCGTGGACCTGATCAAGACGAAGCACGAGGAGCAGCGCCGCGCCGTCGCGTCGGGCAGCGGCAAGGCCGGCGTGCACCATTACCTCTGGGACTTTTCGGACCGCGACGTGCTGCTGGATCTGCTGCGCTTTATGATCCTGTACGTCCTCAACAGCGGGCAGCACGGCGCCGCCGAGAAGGAGCGCATCACCGACTTCTTCGAGACGTTCGTCCCGCAGTTCTTTGACCTGCCCGAGGATCTTGTCCTGCAGCGGCTCAGCGACATTGACCGCGAATCGGGCGATGAGGAGGGCGACGACGCGACACCCACCGAGCTGACCAACGGCCGCACGCGCCGCTCGGCCAAGAAGTCAGATCTCCTGCGCGGTGTGCTGGACCCCGGCCGCAACGGCAGCTCCAAGTCGGGCTCGGCCGCGCGCCACCAAAAGGAGGACACAGCCGGCTCCGTGTCCAAGGAGACAACCCCCGACGTCAACTCGGCCAACGAGGAGGAGATGCCGGATGCGCCAGCGGCGGCGCCAGCGGCAGCGGCGGACGAGCGCACATCGGCCCTGGAGCTGGCCAGCGACCACTGGCTCCCGACGGTGCCGAAGCCTACCGTTGTGACCGGCGAGAACCCGCTGACGGCGGACAGCGACCTTAAGGCGGACGGCCTGTTCAAGCGCCAGTGGTACAACTTCTTCAGCAACCAGACCATCTTTGTCTTCTTCAGCGTCTTCCACACGCTGTACAAGCGGCTCAAGGGCGTCAAGGAGAGCCGCGAGAGCGTGCTGCAGGAGCTCGCCCGCGAGAACGCCGAGAAGCCCGGCCGGGCGCTCGGCATGATGCAGGAGCCCTTGGCCTTCTTTGACGCCAAGAACCCCGAGCAGTTCTGGCCGCAGACGGTCGAGCTGATCGAAGACTTTTTGACGGGCGAGATTGAGGAGAGCCGCTACTTTGACGTGCTGCGCCACTACTACCTCAACAAGGGATGGACGCTGTACACGATCCAGGACCTGCTCAAGACGCTGTGCCGGCAGGCGCTTGTGTGCAGCGGCTCCGACTCGCGCGAGAAGACGCCCGACCTCGTGCAGCAGTTCCTCACGAGCCGCCAGCAGGACGAGACGAGCTACGAGATGGAGATTAGCGCGCGCCGTTTCGCCGAGAAGTGCATCAAGGACGGCGAGATGTTCCAAATCACCTGGTACCCGGCCAAGAACGAGGCTGCCGTGCGCTGGCTGCAGCGCGACGAGCCGACTTTCAACGCCGACACCATGGCCCTGCAGGACCGCTGGCAGTACTACATCTCGACGTACATGCGCATCGAGCCGACCGAAGGCGTTGATCGATCACGCCTGCGCAAGTCGGTGCTCTCGCGCAACCTGCCGTCGGCCAACGAGAACGAATCGGACAATGGCGACGGCCGCAAGGCCGTTGCCTTTCACGAGGGCCTTGTTATGCGGGTCTGCCTGAACTCGTTCACGCTTGTCTACGAGAAGAACTCGAGCGAGTTTTTCATCTACAACCACGACCACGAAGCGGAGGAGGAGCTCGAGGACGACGACCAGGACGGCGATGCCGCGGCCGCCTCCGCCGCTGGCGCCGCCGCGGCCACCGCGGCCGGTACGGACGCACAGGCCGACGAGGCCGAGGCCGAGGGCGACGCCGACGAGGCTGGCAAGGACAAGAAGACGGCCAAGAAGGCTGCCAAGAAGGATGCCGACGGCGCCGACGACGAGGGCGGCAAGGGCACGTCGTCCAACAACAAAACCAGCGCCGACGGGACTGCCGATGGAATTGCCGACGGCGCCGGCGCTGATGTGGGCGCCGACTCGGACGGCAAGGCCCAACAGAAGAAGCTGGCTGCCCAGGCTGCTCGCCGTGCCGAGCAGCGCCGCCAGCGCCTCAAGCACAAGGAGGACCAGGCACGCCGGCGCCAGCAGTACCGCGAGCAGCGCTTCCGCGAAAAGTTTGTCATTAACAACGCGTGGATGAAGAACAAGACGCAGGAGGAGGTCCGCAGCCAGACCGACAAGTTCTTGCGGTGGGTGTCCGAGGGCGCGCTGCCCAACGGCGACTCGGTCGCGCCAGCCGCTGCCGGTGCCGGCGCCGGCGCCGGCGCGTCCTCGTCCAACGGTGCTTCGTCGTTGCCCGCTGCGGCGGGTGCTGCGTCGTCGGCGACCGCCGCCGACAAGACCAAGGCCGAGGCCGCCGACGGTGTTGCGCCAATGGACACAGCCGAGTAGGAAACGGTGAAGGGAAAAGGCGAATACGATTAAGATCTGATACTCCTGATTATTTTGTGTTTCAACAGGGCGAAACGGAGGAGTGCTGGGACCAAATGGAGGGGATACTCTTGGCTTTTGTTTGCTTTTGTTCTTTTATCGTCTTTTCTCGTTTTAGGTTTTCTTTTCTATTTCGTATCTTGTTCTTTTTTCGATTGCTTGCGTCTGACGTTTCTTGTTCTCTGATTCTCATTTCATTTCTTTCCTTGTTCTTATTCTCTGACTTTTTTGCCGCTCTGCTTCCCTTTTAGTATCCGCCCTGGTAATTGTTCCTGTCTGGTCTTGATGTCTGACCTTTCGCTCCTCTCGTATCTTACTTTGCATGCTATGTTTGCGTTTGCTTCTTTTCATTTATTGTTCTCTATGATCTACTCTCTCTTTAAGACTGATCTGGCAATGGAATGCCTTTTCAACATGTCTTACCCCTGTTTGTAGGGCTGCACGAAGTACAATCAAAATATATCACAAATTCAGCTTTACATTTACGGCCATTATGGTTTACATACTTTGTGATGTTCTTTTATTTCGTATATACTCGCAGGTATGTATCACAGGTTCGGTTTCAGCTCCGTCCGTGCCGATGGTTGCGATCTATAATATGCCATTGCTTTTAGATACGTCACACATTTTTAAGAAAAAAAAAAAAAAAAAAAAAAAAAAAAAAAAAAAAACAAAGAAAGAGGAAGTAGGCACAAAATAACAAACACCATTCCGTCACGGAATCTCTTCTCCTTCCATTACATGCTTTTTGCTGTCCCCCTCCCTCGCCACTTCCTTTGCTTTCCAGACATCTGTCGAACGCCATCATGTCTCGTTTTTCCTGGCACGCCATAGCGTAGGGGAAAGTATGATGCTCCTCCTCTTTCAACCCCCGGGCAGGAGTTTGCTTGTCCCGATGCTTTGGTCCTTCTTGGGGTACCTGCCAAAATCTTTTGTATAGTTTCTCCCCACACTGTAGAACAAGGGAAACCACTCACTGCAGGTTCTCAATGACAAGCGCCGAGGCGCCGCCACCGCCGTTGCAGATGCCGGCCACGCCGATCTTGGCCTTCTTCTCCTTGAGCACCGTCGTCAGCGTCGTCAGAATGCGGGCGCCGGAGCAGCCCAGCGGGTGGCCAATGGCGACGGAGCCGCCAAAGACGTTGACCTTGTCGGCGTCGAGGCCGAGCAGCTTGATGTTGGCCAGGGCCACGACCGAGAAGGCCTCGTTGATCTCGTACAGGTCGACGTCGTCGGCGCTCAGGCCGGCGTGCGCCAGGGCCTTGGGGATGGCCAGGGCGGGGGCCGTGGTGAACTTCTCGGGCTCGTGGGCGGCGTCGCCCCAGCCGCGGATCTTGGCCAGCGGCTTGAGGCCCAGCTCCTTGAGCTTGGCCTCGGACACGAGGACAACAGCGGCCGCGCCGTCGTTGATGGGGGCCGCGTTGGCGGCCGTCACCGTGCCGCCCTGCGGCTTGAAGGCCGGGCGGACGGTCTTGAGCTTCTCCACGTTGAGGTTCTTGACCTCGTCGTCGCGGTCGACGCGGGTGGCAGGCTTGCCACGGGGACCCGGGACCTCGATCGGGGCGATCTCTGTGAAGAGGCCGGCCTCGGTGGCGGCCTGGGCGCGCTGGTAGGTGCTAATGGCATAGGCGTCCTGGGCCTCGCGGGGGATGTCGTGGGTCGCACTGCACAGCTCGGCCTGCATGCCCATGTGCTCTTTGCTGTAGGCGTCGGTGAGACCGTCGTTGAGGACGCCGTCAATCAGCTGGGTGTTGCCGTACTTGGAGCCGGTGCGCAGCGTGGGCAGGTAGTGGGGGGTGTTGGACATGGACTCGGTGCCGCCAGCCACGACGATGGAGGCGTTGCCGGTGATGATGGTCTGGGCGCCGAGGATGACGGCCTTCAGACCAGAGGCGCAGACCTTGTTGACGCCCGTGCAGACGGTCTTGTTGGAGAGGCCGGCGCCGATGGCGCACTGGCGGGCAGGGGCCTGGCCGAGGCTGGAGGGGGGGACACGGTTAGCCAACTGCGGGCCAGCTTGCGCTGAGAGCGCAGCACGAGTGGTCGTCGCACTTACTTGGCAGACAGGACGTTGCCGAAGAAGACCTCCTCGACATCTTCGGGCTTGATCTCCGGAACACGCTCGACGGCAGCTATTCAGTGTCAGTGGGGCTGGCGGATAGGGGTCGGGGCAAGGCCAAGGCGGGCAAGACAGCAGCAGGGCACGAGGAAAACGCACACTTGATGGCGTGGGCACCCAGCTGGACGGCCGAGAGGCTGGACAGAGAGCTGTAGGTGAAAGTCAGTCAGTCTGAAGATCACAAAAAACGCCAATGGCTCGAAATGGCGGCGAGGCGGCAAAACACAGCGAAGCAAGGAGGGGCAGCGTACCCAAGGAACGAGCCGACAGGGGTTCTGGCCGCAGCCACGATGTAGACGGGGGGAACGGTAGACATTGTAATGTGTGGGTTGGAGGGACTGTGAGACAAAAGATATCGAGAGAATGCAGAGGTTCAAAAAGGAGGCAAAAGTCGTGAATGGGAAAGAAGTCGAGATAATGAATAGGAGGCAGTCGCGAGGAAGGAGCAGCTCGCCGGACCGGCGTACTTAATTACTTATCAAGGGAAGGCGGACCCGGCGCTGCACTGAGTGCGAGCCGTAGCTGTGGTGGGAAGGTGTGCCCCACCAGAAAAAATATTGTTGAGGGTCCAACCTTCCCTGTTGTCGTGTCCTATCGTTGCTGCCCCTTGCCGTTTCCAGCGGTGGATTTTGTTCAATCGGTTGCTCTTTCCCCAATGGCCAGGCTCGCTGTCACACCGCCCTCGCGCTTGCCCCATTCCCTCTTATTTCCCCTTTCAGGGCAGCCGCGCCCTTGCCTCTCCGGGGAAGGTGCGTAGGACTTGCGGCCCACTGGTGCTCGTCAGTGATGCAGCGATGCCACATGTCGCCAGCCTCACGCTGAATGCAACAGGACATCGGTGTTGTGGAAGGTGCGTTTGCGGGCAAGCTTCTCACCACACCTAATTTCGCTGCCTTGCGCCCTTGCGCCTGCCTGACGGAGACGACTCGCCCGGAGGTCAGACTCGGTCGTAGTTTCTAATCATCGCGACGCCAGCTGCGCGCTGTGTATTGCTGCTGCCTTGTTGGTAATTTGCGCAATCGTACGACGGCCCCCTTTTTTCTGGTTTTGTTTTGTTTTTGTTTTTCTTCGGTTCGATCTCCTCCGACCGCGGCCGACGACGGCTCGACACAACACAGACGCAACACACGACGATCGATACGGCATTTGGGCACGGGCACAGGGGCGCACGGCCATCCGGGCCCTTGCTTGCTGCAGTGGTTGGTACCTTAGCGAATCAGACGAAGAAAAGGGCCGAGACCAATGGACATGGAATACAGAAATTAAAAGGACAAATAAAAAGGCAGAGGACACGGACGTGATGATGGACGAGCAGACGGCAGCCCAGCTGCGGCAGGCCTTTGAGACGGATGACGAGGTCTGCATCGGCTTCGGGCCGGACAAGCTGATTGGCTACGACGATGCCATGCAGAGCGAGGCCGACATCCCACACGAGCGGCAGCAGTTTATGGAGTCGATGGCGTTCTGGTTTCGTGTGTCACGGCACCGGCCGGCTTTAGAGCGGCTGGTGGCGCGGCACTTGGGCGTCCATGCGGCCCGTGTCAAGATGAGCCACTTGAACATGTGGCGCCAGGGCGCATTCAATGTGGCCATCCCCATGCTGGTGTTTGACACAAAAGCCGCGGCCGATGCCGCCCACACACCGTCGCCACAAGGCGACATGCCGCCCGAGGTGCCGGACAGCCTGCGCCGCGTGATGCTGCGCTTGCCAATGCCGCCACGGTGCGCCGAGGCCGTCTACCCGGGCTCAATCCTCGAGAAGATGCGCTGCGAGACGGCGACGTACGTGTGGATGCAAAAGAACTGCTCTCAAATTCGGATCCCGCATCTCTTTGGCCTCGGCTTTCCCGACGGGACACATGTAAGTGCAACGATGCGGCGGTGGAGTTCTGTGTTGGTGGCAGCACGTGTACTGACAGGGGACAAATAAAGTATACACATTGCAGCCGACTATGGTTTGCCCGCCGCGCGCTGCTGTGCATTCGACAGTGGTTTGCATCCTGGATGCGGTGGCCTCTTCTGTCAAACTATGTCGCGATCTCGGTGCCACAGGACGAGTGCCCTGTTGACTCTGGTTACATGATCTTGGAGCACTTTGGTGCCTCTTTTGGACAGGAGCTGTCGTTGATGGCGCGAGACACCAGGATTGTGGAGGACGGCGTCGAGTACTTGCCAGAGCCCATCCAGATGCTGGCGCAGCCGGCAAAGATGCGCAATCTGTTCCGGGGCGTGTCTCGCATCATTCTGGCCTTGGCACGAGTTCCGCAGCCGCGCATCGGCGCGTTCCGGTTCAACGACGACGGCACGATATCGCTTGATAACCGGCCCGTGACAGCGGACATGTTTGTTCTCGAAAACGCACGTGCACCGCGCACCATGAGCGTGGACACGACATATACGAATGTCAACGAGTACGTGAGCGACCTGCAGACGTTTCAAGAACAGAAATTCCTAGCAGCGCCCAATGCAGCTGTCGAGGCAGCAGATGCCACATACCAGATGGGCATCATGGCCTTTTTGCGAGCGGTCACACACCATTTTGTCGGGGGGACCAGTCGCTGGCGAAACGGGCCGTTTGTACTTTACATGTCCGACGCCAACGCGTCCAACTTTATGGTGGACGAGAACTGGAACGTGACGGGCATGTACGACCTCGAGTGGATGTTCTCGGCGCCCGCCGACATGCCACGCGTGCCGTCCTGGCTTACATGGTCCTCGGTGGACCGCATCTCGAATCCTGCGACCGACGAATACGCCGCATACAACGAGGCACGAGCAGCCTTTGCCGAGGTGTTTGCGGAGGAAGAACGGCTGGCCGACACGGCAGCTTTGGAGACGGCGCTCGGTGGCACGACTCTGAGTGCGGTGATGGAGGAGAGCTGGGCGTCCAAGACGTTTTGGTTTTATTCCTCGCTCCTGTCCATCACAGGCATGACGCATGTTGCGTCGCACCAGATCCTGCCCATGTTCGTCCGCACATGGGAGGAGAAGCGAGATGCGTCGGCATCGTTTGCAGACCTGGCTAAGCTCTGGAGCACGGCGGCCGCCGACGTCATCGTGAAAAAAGTGGATGACCACACGAGGCACCTGGTCCATGTGGCGGCTCTCTTTGGACGAGCTCCGCCGACATACACGGCCAGCCACGACATCGAGACGGGCGCAGTCGACGGCGGGGATGTACCGTACATGGAGGAGAAACTGTCGCGTGACAACAAAGGGAACAGCAAAGAAATCACTCTACAAAGCTGATTGTTAATTGTTTGGGGGAATGCGCAGAGCGTACAAAAAGGACTGCCATTTTTGGGTGCATTTACTTGGATATGAATACACGAACAACGATATAGAAGTGCGATATACGAAGGACATAATGGGAGACGACAGCTGGACCAAAGGCTGTCGAGAACGCCATACATACGGTGGCAATGCAAGGCTGCAAGTGTGCACTGAGCAGTGAGCAGTGAAGCCCTCAGAGAACTTGCTTAGGGCAAACGTGCACAGCCTTGTGCAAAAGGGGCAGGTGCTAGTGAAAGAAGCGGATGGCTCTTCAGACAAACCTTGAGGCTACTCCCTCTGTATCGGTTTAGTTCATGGCTGTGGAGAAGTACGAGAATATCTTATCGTATGGTGAGGGGAAACGCCGGCGCCAGCCGCTGGTAAGCTTTTTCGGTTCTTCGCCGAGAAAGACTCCGGATCGTTGATTTGATGTTTTGATGTTACAGACTCGCATTCTCTTCTTCGCCAACCTCTTGGCTCAAATTTGACAACATCCTCTTGAAAGTCTTTGTCCGCGCCTAACGGTAGTATGGCACCGCTCGCAAAAGCTGTTACGGTGTCCCTCGAGGACCTGAAAAAGGGTGAGATTGAGCAGACGTTTTATGCGACCAAAACAAAGACTCGTGTCTCCCTCTAACACAGCTAGGAACCGTCCCACTCGACAAGCTGCAGGAGGCGTTCGGCCCCGACTCGCTCGGCATTCTTGTCGTCCGGGACGTGCCCGCTGCCTTCGCCGCATTGCGCCAGCGCCTGCTCTCCTACGCATCGTACCTGGGCAACCTGCCGGCCGATGAGCTCACGCGACTCGAAAACGAGACGGCCAAGTACCTGACGGGCTGGTCGTGCGGCAAGGAGACGCTCAAGAACGGCAAGGTCGACACGCTCAAGGGCTCGTACTATGCCAACTGCGCATTCTACGTCGATGCGGCGCTCGACTGTGCTGCGCCCACGGCCGAGTTCTCGCCTGCCACGTTCCCCGAATACCTGTCCCCCAACGTGTGGCCTGCCGAGTCGGTGCTGCCCGGCTTCCGCGCGGCCCTCGAGGATCTGTGCCGGCTGATCATCGACGTGGCCGTACTCGTGGCGCGCGCCTGCGATCGGTTTGCCGCCCAGGCAATCCCAGACTACCCGTCGGGCTATCTCGAGGCGGTCGTGAGCACGTCAACGACGACCAAGGCGCGGCTGCTGCACTACTACCCGCAGACCGCAGCCGACAGCATCAATGACAACAACGACAAAGACGGCGTCAACGACGACGACTGGTGTGCGACGCATCTGGACCATGGCTGTTTGACGGGCTTGACGTCGGCCATGTTTGTCGACGAGGCTGCCGTGGACACACGTGTGCCCGACGCGGCGTCCTCCGCCCTGGAACCCCTCGCGGAGCTCGACGCGTCGCCCGACCCGGCCGCCGGCCTCTACATTACGTCGCGCACGGGCGACATCGTCCAGGTCAAGATCCCGCGCGACTGCATTGCCTTCCAGACGGGCGAGGCGCTGGAACGCATCACGGCGGGCAAGTTCAAGGCCGTGCCGCATTTTGTCCGCGGCGCACGTCCCGTTTCCGGGTCCACCAGCCGCATTGCGCGCAACACGCTGGCCGTGTTCACGCAGCCGAACCTGGGCGACGACGTGGACCGCGAGCAGCACATTACATTTGGAGAGTTTGCCCGGGGGATCGTAGCCAAGAACACGGTTGGGTAGGGGTGTGGTCTTTCCTGTTTATATCCCGTTGTTGCTCCTTCCATAGCCTGTATTTATGTGACATTTTTGTCCATCTCGCAAATTGGCAACAATGCGCCGTTTACAATGTAAAGAGGAAGGTGCAGTGCAGGCGCACGTTCTCTCCTTGCAATTTGTAGTGTCCCAAGGAATGAGCCACCGACACATGGCTTGGCGGGGTTCGCCGTCAGCAATGGGGCCATTGCGACATTGGCAGGAGCATTGTAGAACACCGTCGCCGTTAACGTCATCGCTCTTACCTCCCCAGTTTGTCATACTCCCGTTCCTTCCGTGCATTTGTGTTTACGACGTGCCGCTGTCAAATCAGCCCCTTTTCTCCTTCTTGTCTTCTCTCTCATCTCTCTTTCACGTCTCTCTCCAGATTCTTCACTCTCAATTTTGACTCCAGCGTCGACGTCACTTACACAACATTGCTCCACCCCACCACCCCTCACACAATCACATTGACCACAATGGCTCTCGCTCCCAAGTTTGCGGCCCACCGCCTGGTCTTTACTGACCTCTCCGCCGCCGCCTCTGTCGCGCCCGTCCACACCGTCGAAATCTTCCTCGACTACGTCTGCCCCTTTTCGGCCAAGCTCTTCAACACCTTTTACACGGGCGTCGTGCCCGTCCTGCGCTCGCGGTCGAGCGGCGTCGGCAGCCGCGTGCAGGTCATCTTCCGCCAGCAGGTGCAGCCGTGGCACCCGAGCAGCACGCTGACGCACGAGGCCGGCCTGGCCGTGCAGCGCGCCGCGGTGGCCGCGGGCAAGCCGCAGCTGTTCTGGGACTTTAGCGCGGCGCTGTTCAAGGACCAGAAGGCGTACATGGACGTGGCCGTGGTCAGCGAGGGCCGCAACGACACGTACAAGCGGCTGGCCGCGCTGGCGGCGGCGTCGTCGGGCGGCGCTCTCGACGCGGGCACCATCTACAAGGACCTGGCCGTCGCCACAGAGCCGGCGGCGGACGGCTCGGTCAACACGGGCAACGCCGTCACCAACGACCTCAAGCTGGTGATCAGGGCCGGCCGGCTCGTGGGCGTGCACGTCAGCCCGACGGTGCTCTTTGACGGGCTGGTCAACAACGACATTTCGTCGTCGTGGACTGCCGAGCAGTGGCTGGAGTACCTGGAGAAGAATGCGGTCTAGGAAAACGGCCTGCAGGGGGCCGCTGACAGGGTAGTCACCGCGCAGCGAAACGGAACCAAGCAGGTCCAAAATATAACATGGAACAGTTTACAAACTTGACAGTTTAACAGTTTAACAGATTGACAGATGAACAGATTAAACGTCTATTCCGCCAATTACCATGATGCGTACAGATTCGCTGGAAAACGAGGATCCGTCTTCGACGCTACGTGGACCGTCCGCTGCACATTGCCTCACCTACACCGTCAGCTTGCTTCCCGGAACACCTGCAGACCGCGCGCAGTCGGTCGCGGCAATCCACGCAAACGTCAGGCCGGGGCCCAGTGTCGCCCCGGCGCCGGCGTACGTGCGGCCCATGACGCTGGCGGACGAGTTGCCGGCCGCGTACAGACCGGGGATCACGGCATACTGGCCGTCTTTTGTCTCCTTTAGGGCACGGCCCAACTCATCCGTCAGCACACCGCCCTTGGTGCCCAGGTCGCCGGGCCAGATACGCACAGCGTAAAAGGGACCCTTTTCGATCTTGCCCAGGTTGCGGTTCTTGTTGCCGTAGGCCGGGTCGCCCAGGTAGAAGTCGTAGACGCTGGTGCCGCGCGCAAAGTCGTCGTCGACGCCCTTGTCGACAAAGCCGTTGAAGCGTGCCTGGGTGGCCCGCAGGCCGTCGGCGTCAATGCCCAGCTTGGCCGCCAGGTCGGGCAGGGTGTCGGCCTGGGTGACAAAGCCCGAGTCCAGGTCCTTTTGCGGGATGGCGCTGCCGGGCATGAAGCGGCCGGCGAGCAGGTAGCGGTTGCGGTGGTTGGTGTCCATGATCAGGTAGGCCGGGATGGCCGCGGGGCCCTCCTTGTGGCGCTTCCAGATGGCCGTGCCGAGAGCATTGTAGTTTTGCGACTCGTTGAGGAAACGCTTGCCCTGCTTGTCGACAATCATGGAGTGCGGCAGGCCGCGGTCGTACAGACACCAGATGCCCAGCTTGGACACGGGGTCGTACATGGCGGCGCCCCACCAGGCCGAGTCCATGAGCGCCGTGGCGGCACCAATCTTTTGGGCGGCCGTGATGGCGTCACCCTGGTCGGTCTGGCAGGCGGACGTCCAGTCGGCCGTGATGGGCGGCGCCTGGTAGGTCGTGCGCATCTCGGCGTTGCGGGCAAAGCCGCCGGCGGCCAGGATCACGCCGTGGGATGCCTCGACCGTCACAGTGCGGCCGTCGTGCTCGACCTTGGCACCCGTCACGCGGCCACTCGCCTTGTCGACCACCAGCTCGGTCATGGCGCTGGACGTCCAGATGGGCGTGCCCTGCTTGACGTTCATGTAGAGGAGGCGGCTGATCATGCTGACGCCCAGGCACACGGGCTCGGCGCCGAGAAACTGGTTCGGGTACAGGCGCAGGCCCCAGATCTTGACGGCGGTCAAGAAGCCGTCCAGGGAGCAGCGGGCGCGCACAATCTTGGACAGCTCGTCGGTGTAGAGCGGCAGCGGGGGGCGGACGGGGTTGATGTTGAGCTTGTCGCGCCAGGGGCCGAGCAGGGCAGCGTCGTACATGAGGGCCTCGATGCTGCGGCCGCCGACTTGCGACCCGGGCTTGTCCTGGAAGTAGTCGGGGTAGACGGGGGTGCGGCGCCACTGGTAGCCAGCGTTCTCGAGCCACTTGACCATGGCCGGGCCTTGGTGTAGGAAGGCCTCGCGGCGGGGGCCGGACGAGGCCGGACCGGCGTCGCCGATGATGGCACCCATGTAGGTCAAGGCCTTTTCGATGGAGTCGTCTGCGTCGTTGTGTACGTGGGTGTTGGGAATCCAGAGGCCGGAGCCGGAGAAGCAGGAGGTGCCGCCGACCTTGGCATTCTTCTCGACGACGAGGGTGTCGAGGCCGAGGGACTTGGCGCGCAGGGCGGCCGTGAGGGCCGGGCCGCCGGTGCCAACGATCAGCACATCTGTCTTGACAACGCCGTCAGGGCCGATGACGGCACGCGCGGCATTCGTCGCGGGATCCTCCGTGAGGCGGGCGCCGGCGCGCTTGACACGTGACACGACGCTGGCACCGACAGCAAGACCGACGATGCCCACGACGACGCGGCCGGCTGTCCTGCGGAGCGCAGAGGGGGCCATGAGGCGGGTTGGCTGGGGGTGGGGATGGGATGGATGTGTCTGCCTGTCGTCTCACTCTCGGTCATTTGTCCTTCACGTTGACAAGGAAGCTCAGAAGACACGATGTTGGAGACATGCGAGTACGGAGTGAGAAAGAAACCAAAAGACTCCCTCCCCTCCCACCGTCTCGTCCCACCAGAGAGGGGGACACCACCTTTAAGGAAGCTGCCGGTACGGTGCGGGATTGTGAATGCAAGAGCGGACATCGTCTTCCGCGTGCGCCATGCTCCGCAAGCTTCTTGGACGCCTACATTCCGACATTCCGACATTCCGACATTCCAACATTGCGATAGAGTCAGCGTGTGTACGGCTGGACATTCGGAGCGCTGTTGTTTGTGGGGTTGACGCCAGCGTCGGATATCAATATCCAGGGCCCCAAAGCACGCCGGCCTTTCATAGCTTCTCAATGCGGAGCGTATACAGCACCGGCGGCCGCTCTACACCACGCGAGGGCGCACCGTACCCCAACTGGGGCTCTTGGGATGCAAGCAACGACGAATGAACGGGGTCTCGACGTGACTTCAAATTGTGTGGGATAATACACATGGCATTCTACAGGACGGCAGACGAGGCCTCTCAGGTGCACGACCACCAATTCGGACCAACACGTGACCTGCTGGGCTGGGTCCTACAGAATGACCATGCCTGAGAGCCACGTCGCTTTCATGTTTGACAAAACAGCACACTTTACATTCCTCAGACGCCCTACTCGTACAGGATGCCGTACGTCGTCTATAGCCTCGACAGCGCCATTGAACGCTTCTTTGCTCATGCCGGGGCGGCGTCTACCAGGGCCGAGTGCGACGACATCGCCCGTCGCAAGTTTGGCGATCCGGTAGAGCCGGTTTCTGTTCAAGGGTCGAACAGTTACACCGTGATTGCCGGGCCGAACAAAGACAAAATCGTCCAGTTCCGTGAGCAGGCCGCACTCTTGGATGTTAAGCTTTTGGCGCTGGCGAAAGACATTCATCTTGAGCTCGTCCCACGTTGCTCAGAAGTCGGGCGGGTGGGCGAAGAAAACAGCTCTCAACTGGTCATGTACGACATGGAGAGAATGCCAGGCGATACTTGTATTACTGCCCGGTTTAATCTGGCGCCGGAAAAGCAAGTAAACATTGTGGCTAGCTTGGCAAGGTGGGAAATTCGCTTTTGTTCTTGTTGTATACGTCGTAGTGTCCCCCGTTTACTAACTTGAATTTTAGATTTTTTGCCCAGGCATGGCAGAAAGGCATTGCTGAGCCGCAGCCGGTGGACATTCTACATCTCCGATCTGAATGTTATGCTCGGTTTGATTATCTGGCCGGTAACCTACCCAAACGCTTTCAGCCCACCGTCGAGAAAGTGAAGGCGATACTGCCAGACTTACTCACCGCCACCTATCCTGTCGTTCTCACACACGCCGACCTAAATGAGATGAATATTCTGATCAACGCGAGTAGCGGCAACATCACTGGTATCGTCGACTGGTCCGAGGCCAGCATGCAACCATTTGGGTTTGCTCTCTATGCGTTGGACCACGCACTCGGCAGTATGAGCAATGCCGGGTGGCGGTGGTACGACAATGCGGATGTCATGCGGGAGCTATTCTGGGATCGTTTTCAAGCTGCAGTCGGAGTCCTGCCAGCATCACAGTTGGAACTCGTGAAGCTGGCCGAAAAAGCGGGCATTTTGATCCGTTACGGGACTGCCTACGATAGTGGCTTCACAGGGCTGGTTGGCGTGAGAGATGCCAGCGGGGATGACTACCGGTTCTTAGATGCTCTGTTGTAAGGCACGGTTTGGCGGCCGGCTGGCGAAAGGTTCAGGTAGGTAAGGACGAGCTGGTGAGCTCTGATGTGTTGTCTACGGCTCGTATCGCGAAAGTGAAGACGAGGACATAGAAGCGTCGCAAAGGGGGACAGGAGCGAGCGGACGTAGCTCTCGTGGCTGAAGCGGCCCCGGTAGAGCGGAGCGACTGCGGTGGTGGTGCGGCCGCTGTTGCCGCTCTCGCCGTCGTCGCTGGCGGGCTGCTTGTCGGCAAATACGGCCGAGGCTGACGCTGCAGGCGCTGCTTCTTCCTTCGTCTCGTCTGTCGCATCGGAGCCCTGCAGGTCATCGTTACTTGACACGCTGCCATCACGTATGTCAATATCGAGCGTCCTGGGCCGGTTGTAGGCGGTTTCGGGGACGAAAAAGAACAGGACGACGGCATAGACGGAGGTGGTGATGACGGCGTAGCGGTAGGCCCAGACGTAGCTCTGGTGGGCCACAATCTGTGAGGCGACGACAGGGAGTACCGCTGTACTATACTATGGCAGAAACGCACTCAGTGGATCATTTGGAGAGTCAGATGGCTGCGGCACCAGGACAACATCGACGTGGCGACCGGAGCCATGTTTGAGCCTGGCCGCCGCGCGGAGAGTGGCCTCGTCTTCGCCTTCGAGCTGGACGGCGGCCGGGACCGCTTTGGACTGGTTGTGTGGTTCAAGAATGCCGAGACCCATGGCGAAGCGTGTGGTGAATGTGGTGAAGGCCGGCGACGAACACGGCGTCGACGGACGGTAGTATAAACACCGACATCTACCGACGACGCAGGCAGGGATCACCGGCCGTTACTTATACGTCGTGTCCCCCAAGCCGCAAACACACACCGTACTATCGTCCACTGGTGTTGTGTCCCGAACAGGCATCGCCGGTGTTGTTGACGCCATTTATAGAATAAAGACACGAAAAGACCCAATTTGGGCAGAATGGTGTAAGGCGCCGATGTTGGATAGGATCGGCGATGACCAGCTGAACCCTGGCCTTTCCCCGGCTCTACCCCGATGTATATCGCCGAAAGTGAACGAGAACATATCATTCATTAAAGGGTCAGACCGAGCCCTGTGATATCCGGCCGGATTTGTTTTCTGTCTTTCATCAATCTGATAAACGGGCGCGGGTGCAATCCATATCCGGAAGGACACGGAACCGGATCGCAGCTTGACCCGCATCCTGACGCACGGCACGGGCCGGCGTGCCAAGCGTGGCCGTCTTGCTCTTTCCTGTTTTGATCCCGGTCTCGGTGGCGTCTAGGGCTCTGGTCTTCTATGCATTCATTCCTTGCCTTGCCGTGCACAACTGCTATCCATTCGTCCTGCGAGCTATTGGTACCATCAAATGGACGCGTATTTGTACCCCCAGAAATGACCAAAACAAAAGGTTCTAATATGATTCTACCAGCGATACAAAAAATCAGCGATTTAATGCCTCGGCGTTGTGCAGGTGAGGCGATGTGTCATTAGACCACAAACACTAGGGCGAAGGCGCAATGCTACAGTGGAATTGTCAAGACCGGAATGCAGTCTTACACGTTCGCCCACGGCTCCAGTCAACATTTTACCAACATTTTACCACTCCACCTCCCAACTGCACTCCGTCTCTTGTCGCATCTCCAAACCGCCAACATGCCTTGGACCACCACAAAATATGAGCTAAGCCCGCCGCCTCTAGACGAGCTTGCGGCCGTGCTCCAGACAGGTCTCCAACAGCACTTTGAGTCGGTCTCGGTCCACGTTACCCGCAGCCCCGAACTGCGCGAAGCGCCCTTTCACCTCGCGGCTGCTGGTATTTCGGGCCGCGAGCGCATTGGCGACGTCGGCGGACCGCAGAATCTGCGTCCGCTGCCGCGACTGGACCACAAGTACCACCTGCGCGAGATTATGGATCTCATGGAGATGCAGGACGGCCTCGTCATCGGTGCCGGCGCGGGGCCGTTTCACCACGTCGGCGGCAACACGGAGCTGATGCCCAACCTCAGCTACACCGACGGCGTGGCCAACAACCAGACGCGCTTTGCCCGGATTGTGCCGGCCACCGAAACCGACAGCGTGCGGGACATTGCTACCGGCACGCTGGCGCACAGATGCCGGCCCCTGCCGGCACCGAAATCAGCCGACAGCGCCCTGCTCACAAATTTGTATGCCAGCGACGGCGCTCCGGGCGACGTGCTCAAGATGGTGGCCCACGGCCGCAAACCAGACAGCCCCGACTTTACGGCGGCCATCCAAGACGTGCTGCGCAGCACATACAGCCAGCCCGTCAGCCTCGGCGGCGTTTTCGTCTTGCGCCGTGGCCGGGCGCTGCTCCACGTCATGTCCGATTTCAAGACGGAGCCGCGCCTGCCGGGCAACCAAGACAACTGGCTCACGTTCTTTGACGTGGCCGCGCCGCTGACGTGCCTCTCGGTCGTCCACGCGCGCGATCCCGGCCTGCGGCTGCACCTCGAGCACACGCACTGCTTTTCCGAGCGTGGCGAGGGCGGCCACTTTCACCACGACTCGACCCCGGCCGACGCCGAGTACGAGGCATACTTCAACACGGCCAAGGTGATCTACCGGATAGATGGGCCGGGGGAGTAGTGGGTATTCGATAGATGATAATGAAGAGCTAGAACGACCACAAAAGGACTAGACGTAGTCATGCTGCAGTATAAATAGCGAGAGCAGCATGAGGCAAGGTGTGATATAAACGTGGCATATCAGAGCCTTCGAGGTAGTTAGACGCCGCACGGATCATCACGGACAGGTCCGTCTCCTGGTGGGCTTAGAGTCTTCCACACCCTACGTTATCAAGTATAAGTAGTCCTCGTTTGCATTCGCGTATCCGTGGCCGTACGCGACAGACGTGGACGGACATGGAGGCTAGAGAGGCTTGTTCGTCTCCGGTTCGGGATTGTAGACTAGGTTCTAAGCACACATCGTCTGCGGAAGGGGAATATCAACTATGAAGAAGTTAAAGGAGGACAATAAGAACACAAAATCACACATCCCATGAAATTTGAGTCCAATCAGACGCTATTACAAGGGGAGACGGAAGAAGACAGATGTTAGACGAAAGTAGAAGAGGATAGCCAGATAAACCACCGCTGCACTACCATCTCGGCTCGCCTTGCTCAACTTTGGGCGTGCCGACGGCGTTCCGGTCGGCGAACGGGTCGTTGTCGTCGTCGTCCACGTAGCTGTCGCCGTCCGAGTCGTCGCCGCCGCCGCCAGCAGACCGGTTGCGCGCAGCGTCGGCCGCCATCATGGCCGCCGTGGGCACAGCGGGCCGGCCGCCCAAGTGGCCCACGGCCGGCTTGGACATGGCCGAGGGCCGTGGTGGAGCCGGTGGGCGTGGGGCTTGCTGTGGTAGCGCCGGTAGGGGCGCCTGCTGCGGCGGCGGCACCGGCACGGGGGGCGAGGGGACGCCGCTGTTGCGCTTGCTGCTGCGGCCGCTGGTGGCGTCGCCCAGGTTGAGGGTGGCAAAGTCCGGGACGACGGCGGAGGCCGAGGTCGGCGAGGCCGGCGTCGAGCCAGACTCCTTGTCCTTGGCCGCCTGCTCCTGGATCATGCGGTAGCGGTGGGCCTGCTCGGCCAGGTCGTCGTCCGAGTCGCTGTCGGCATCGATGGAGCGGTCGAGCTGCTCAAAGAGCATCAGCGCCGTCACCAGCTCGTCGTTGGCGTGCAGCAGGCTGCCCAGGTATTCCTCCGAGTTGACGAGGTAAATGTAGCGCAGAATCTTGCGGCGCAGCAGCTTGCACTTTTCAAAGCGCGCAATGGCGGCCTCGTTCTCGGAAATCCGCTCGAGCTCGCGGTTGATGGTCTGCAGCGTGTTGGTCAGGTCGGTCGAGGCGATGGACGCGTCGGCAATCGTGGCCTTCATGACCGGCTTCTCGGCCTCCAGGTTGAACGGCTTGCGCGACTTCTTGTTGCCGCTGGTGCTCGACCGCTTGTCCTTGGCCTTGGACGGCTTGCTGCTGCTGCTGCTGCTGCCGTCGCGGCCAAGCGAGCTAAACGACTCGATGCGGCCCGTCGGCTGTGTCTGCGTCTGTGGGGCAAAGGTCCGGGAGGACGACGAGAATGACGCCGCCGCCGCCGCCGCCGCCGCATTCGCTGCCGTGTCGGCCTCGTCTTCGTCGTCGTCAAAGGGGTTCTCCGTCTCGCGCACGACGCGCGACTGCGCCTGCGTCACGACCTGCTTGCGCTGCGGCAGCTCCTTGTACAGACGCGCCAGCCGCTCCATGCCGGGCGTGTTCTTGTACTCGGCGGCCCAGCCGCGGAACAGCACCGAGCACTTCTTGCGCACGTCCGGGTCGGACATGTCCGACGTGCCGCAGACGCGGAGGCGCTCCAGCAGCATCTCGTCGACAAAGGACCGCTGGAAGCGCGGTCCGGCGTTCTGGATCAGGCCGTCGAGCAGCGTCAGTGCGCGCAGCTGACGGTGCACGCTGCCGTACTTGAGCTTCTTGCGGATGGCACGCGCGGCCTCGGTCGGGCCCGACGCCTGCAGCTTGATGACCTCGACGAGGTCGGGGATGCCGCTGAGGTCATCTTCTTCGTACGCCTCGCCCGTGAGGTTCTCGATCGTGACCGTGACGGCCGAGTAGGGTTTTTTCTAGAGAGAAAGGCGAATTAGTATTGATATGGAGTCGCGATCTGGTGCTCTCCGGTACCGGTGTTTTTTCTTCTTTTTGGTTGGTTTTTGGGGTGTATGTGTCTTCCGCCTTCCACGCACTTGAGAGAACATGTCTGCGGCAGGCCTAGCTATCCGTCGAGTCGTTGGTCGCAGAAACAGCGAGATGCATGAAGTCGACAAGATATACGAAGGCGTGCCTCCCTTCAAAAGAGAGGCTGTGAGCAGATGGCCTTGGCAGCGTCGCCTTGGCGAGCGGGCGGCTCGTGACTGGAATAGGGAGGTCGGGGGTCCGAGGCCGTCGACGCCCAGACTCGGCGATGCAGATGCGGTCGACCAGCTGGAGACAATGCTCCCAACTCAAAGCCAGAGTTTGCGGCTCGTTTCGTCGGTCGTTTGTATTTGGTAGTGTTTTGCGTGTCGTCCCGCAGTGATGTCACGGTAAGTGAGGGGTGGTGTGGGCTGCTCCGCGTCCTGCGTGGGAAGTGCCGTGCGAGAGCTGCGGCGGAGCTGGTTCGATGTGCAGCGAAGTGTTGAGGTTGGCAGACGTGCCAGTCCTTTTTGCAAAGTCGTATCGTAAGATAGCAAAATCGTCGAGTCAACTTGGATGCAGAGTATGGCGCAGAAGAGGCAGGCGCAGGCGAGTGCTTTGGCGAGGCGGAAGGAGCAGGTGAGCTACGGCCGCAAGCGAGCGGGCAAGGGCAAAGGGCAGGGAGGGGCGCACCTGCCCCCAAAGGTCGCAAGGCTAGCGACACCCGACGGCGGCATTAGCTAATACTATGGCAAGTACAAACCACAGCACATTTCGTGCCTGCCGCACCCCGCCATTGCTGCACCACGGGGCTTCCTCGTGACCATTGCGCTTCTGTTTGTTGCGGACGCTAGCCTGGCCTCGGGTGACGCCGTGGCGCACATGATAGCGCTTATCACTCACTGTAACTGCCAGGCTGCCGTCAGCTGGCACTGTTGTTTACTGAATCGTTGTATCCTAGTTTCGACTTTCGACTTTCACGACGCTTCACTTTTGCTTCCACAATTTTCACTGCTTCGGCATCCACCGTTCTTTTCGTAACTGAAGAAGCCAGAGTCGTCTATTTCCTCGGAGGAATCTCCTCGTTTCCCGTGTACTACCTTCCCCTATGCACAGCATGCAAATTAATTGTCGTATTGGTTCGCCTCTGTACAACGACGGCAGTACTTCTTAGCGAGGCCGAGATATTGGCTACATGTACGGAGTAGGCCCCTAGACTATAACGATCAGGTCTGCCATCGGTCATCTGTCAAACTTGGCCGTGACCATTCACGATACCAAGAGAGCATGTCGCCCGAAGACGTTCGCCTCGGAATTGATAATGACGTCATCACGAGGCTGAGGATCTCGAACCCTCGCATTGGCAGTTCCCCGTTTTCGTAAGTTTTCAGGGAGCTGCAAAGACAACACGGGTACCTAAGCAGGAAGATGCGTTTGAAGCAAGGGAGGGCTGATCGCTGACAATATCGATACATGGGAAGCGATTGCCGTGCTGGCGCATTGTCACGTATGCCGCCGTCTACGGTAATCCAGAACCTGTAGATAAGCGAACGAAGGAAACACATCAAATTACATGCCCAGGACAAGTAAGCGAACCTCGTACCCGAGAACAGGGAAGCCACAAAACACAAAATGGGCTTCCCAAAGAAACGGGCCGGAAGGAGGTGCTTCGGCAAGGAGAAGTGAGAATGCTCGGCTCGATGGGTGACTGTCCCGGCGGTGACGATGATGACAAACCAGACAGACAAGACGCCCCGGCCGCACATAATCTAATACTCTGAAAACTGCCCATCTAGTCGCAACAGTCGGGACGAACGCCGGCCTCGCAGCGAGCGTGTATTTCCCGGGGAAACCGGATCCTGAAGACGACGAGAAGGGAAGACAGGGACGGAACAGCGGAAAGATTAGGGACCCCGGTGGGGGTGATTGGGGATGGAGGAGGGGTGGGTGGCACAACAAAACACACGATGACTCTTCTTGTCGTGAGAGAGCGCGAGAACCAGAGACGAAACCCGTTTGACGTCTTTTACAGCCCCCATCCAGCACCTAGTCGCACTTGCCGCGCGCCCCATTGAGGGAAGGAGGGCGTGTGAGGAAAAAGTGAAAAGTCGGTGAACAGGACGGCGAACTGCAGGTGCAGGCAGGTGCGCATCCGGGTTGACGTTAGTTTAGCGCTGCATGTGCGTGTTCATGCGCTGGGGCTGAGGCGGAGGGGCAAGCACGACACTTCCGCACAAGTGGACACCGGCGGACAGCAGCGGGCACTCGCAGTTGCCGTTTCAACGTTACCTGCACGTAACGGCATGAATCTACTGGTGGAGAGGGGCGCGACGAAGCGGGCACGGGGAAACGCGGAGGGAAAGAACAAGTCGACCTGGCGGTGACGAGGGAAGGTGCAGAAGGGCAAGGCGCAACGGCGGAACCCCCACTGGCGGCAGGTGCGATGGCACAATTCAAAACGCAGGAGACGAGGCAGCCACGGCAGTCCCGATGCAGGAGATTTGCTGTAATCGGGTGGTTGATTTGCTGTGATCATGTGTTGGTAAAAGAATCAGATAAAACGAAATAGAAAATAAAAGGCGAGCAAGATACAGATAAAATAAATGAAATACGGTATGTGCTTGAAATACGTTGCATGGATCGCAGGTGCAGATATGACCTGCAACCAGATTAGGAACCGTTTCGTTTCAACCCATTCTGTTTCTGTTTTCCAAAATAGCTTTTGTATATGTCCTTTGATATTTCTTTTAGATCTTTATTATTGTCCTTCAAAGAAGGCAACACGACAGAATCGTAACCACGGAAGGTGTGCCTCCTGGGATCTAACGAGATTCAATGCCTCGCCGCAATGCTATTAGGGCATTGGCAGGTCGGATGTACTCGCTCAACGCCCATTTGGGCTGATTCAGTGCAGATATACGACAGTTACACTGTGACGATTTGTAAACGCAGCACGCTTTTCGTCGTATTCGAACCCAACGATGATGGCGGTGAAGACGACGAGCCATTACATGAATGTGTCAGACCACACACTCGTGCCCGTCTGGCCACCGCCTCTCCTCACTCTCCAAGAATCTACCAGCATGTACGTATAGTCCGCGTTGGTTTATGGGCGGGTTGGTATCAGGATCTCAGGAGCGCCAAGCAGTGCGCCAACTGCGAGAACTGCCTTTCCTTTGTCGTTCATCCGATTCCTTGTTTTCGCTATCTGCATACTGCATAGACTGGGTGCGATCCCAAGAAACAGGTTGAGCTGTTCCGGCTTGTGTGGCCGCGTGCTCCGTTCTCCGTCCTTTTTCCCGAATGGACGCCAGCCTTTCCCCGCGTTGTAGTCAGATGCCCAGAAAAGGTGTCTGGGTCGACAGGCAATTTTCATCCAATCTTTGTGGAGTTGACAACCACATCAAGACGCCAATCGATCGACACGCGTTCCTTTCGCGTTGTGACACGGCGATTTAATGTCGCTTTTGTAGATAAATGAAAACGACGAAACCTGAGGTCTGAAAACGGTGATGCTTCGATGTCGTACGGTATTTCAGAATTTACTCTAGATAAATTGTGTTTGACTCTTGAATTTATCTGCCTCCGTATTTTCCATCACACCAACAGAGGCGGTTTCACTCACGCAAGGGGTAGTTCTGGCCCCGTTGTTGTTTTTGTTCTCCCGTGTATGTTGTGCTGTTTGCGACAGTTGCTGACACCTGCTCCCTTTCTTCATTGGGGAGGCAATCACCGGCAAGACAGAATACGAATACACAGCAAGGAGGGCTGTGCCGTCTCTGGTTCCATCCCTGTATTGTGGCATACAAAGATTCTGGCCAGCATATCATGAATATCGACCAACAAAGACTGATGAAAGGCTGAACAACACAAAGGGAGGCGTCTGTGAGCCGTGCGCCCCAAAGACCTCTCCCTCTCGCGAGTGGTCTTGAAGACGGTCAAAGAGGCTATGTCGTGTCATGAGACCTTGCAGCAAAAATAAAGCGACGGAATGGAGGACGTGTGTCGCCTGGAGGCGATCTCTCTTTTCGGTAGATGCTTGCGATGTCTGTTCGACGTGCGCCAAACGGTTCGCTTGCCAAAACGGGGTGGAAAAAACGGACAAAACGGACAAAATGCGGAAACCCGGAAAACGGGCGACCATCCGCATGATCTGTTACGGAGCAATTACGGCGTACCGACCACCCCATATTTCCCGCTGTAAGTCATGCAAACAGCTAACCTAGCGATCAGCTCCACTGTAACCCACTGTAACCCACTGTAACCCACTGTAACAGCTTTGATTGTGCTAGGATCGAGCTGGGGTGAGCCAGCGCACTGGCGCCGCTCAGCGTCGCTTTGGCCACTATGCCATGGAGTTCACATGCTTTTCTGCCCCCTGTCCCAGCCGACACCATCCCTCCCTTTCGATGATGGACAGTGGTCTCGATCGTTTTGTTCCTTGTCAAGTCTTTTGGTGCAATTGAATTACGTCGTTGACCTCCGTTTTGGGAAAGTCGTTCCTTCCCCATGGGACCTTTGTTTGGCTGCAAAGGCCGACTTTGGCCAGCGGCCTTTTGGGCCTTCCCGTTGCCATTGTCCCGTGCTCCTCACAGACATCTGCCGGTTCTTTTGCAAACGACCCTGCGCATATAGAAGCAAGTCCTTTTGTACAGCGCCACAGGCGCGCCAGAACCAGAAGGGAGAAATCCCCGAGAGCGACACGCCAGGAACGTGAAAGAGTTCATAGTAGGGCAGTGGATACATCGACAGCTACCGGGACCTTGTGAGCTTGAACGTGTATCACATGCAAGCGATATATAGTAGGTACTAAGATTGGCGTCATGAATAACAAACAAATCAAGAGACAATCGGATCATGAACGTTAAGAATGATTATTAGGTTGTATTGCTTGTTCTTTTTTTATTCTTTTGTCTGGCTGTCCTTTTTTTCTATCATATCAAAAAAGAGGGCAAAAGATCGTCAAAATGCGGGTGTGCGTCAACGAACATCATGGAAAGCTCGCCTCTCGTTTTTCTGAGGCTCCGATTCGAGGTTGCTGCTTCTTTTCTTTTCCGGCTTTTTTGGCTTTGGCTTTTGGCTTTTTGGGTCGCTTTTGTGTGTTCCTCTTTCACGAGGGAGGGCAAAGGCAGGCACGAAAGAATGACGAAAGAGCAAACATGAGGAGACATATTACAAACAGGCCGTAGTGACGAGAAAACGAGTCAATAATAAATAAAAAAAACACATTGGTATCGTGAGAATAAATGGGATGAGGAATCATGTCCTTGGTTCCACAAAATGCCCCTCCATAAAATAAAACAAGGTAACAAAAAGTCACTGCTTTTTTTTCTTTTTGGGAAACAACAGAACAGTGCACGCGTGGCTGCAGCACATGTGATGGTTTCCGAAACCAATCAGACACAACGCCAGTTGTTGAGAATGCATACATGACCGTTTGATATGGAACGATGAAGACAACAACACAAAAACACAAATAAACGAATAGAACAACCGCGCTGGATGCATGCTGAGTGGCCGCAATGAATATTGGTACAAGAGAAAATGCAAAAAAGAGAGGTAAAGAAGGTGGCGAGTGGGTATCGAGTGCGAAGAAGTAAGAGAAAGAGAATTAGGAGGTTTGAGAGAAGGCGTGAGATTATGTGTGTCGTTTCGTGCATGTTCACCAGCCCTTGGCGTGGTACCCGTTGTAGGCGTCACGGTTGAGATATTGATCAAAGCTGTTGGCGTTGGCATCGCCGCCGGCGTCGTCGCGGCCCATGTGCACCGGCTCCGGATACTGGCGCAGGTTGGCCACGTCCTGGGACGTGTGGCGTCTCTTGAGCACGGCATTGGCCGTCGACGTCTTCTGCGACCGCTCCCACAACAGATGACGGCGCAGCGACTCGGTCAGCTCTGTCGACAGCATGTTGCGGCGGTTCGTGCGCGGCGACAGCGCGGGCGCGTGGTTGGCCGCCGTGGCCGACGTCATGATCGGCTGGGCCGCAGAGCGCGGGATCTCGTTGATAGGGCGCAGTGTCGACTGCGGGCCACGAGGGCGGTGGCGCATCATCAGGGCCGCATCGTCCGAGTCGTTGGGCGAGGCCACCAGCGAGGGCGGCTGGTGTTGCCGCTGCCGCTGCTGCTGCTGCTGCTGCTGCTGCTGGTGCAGCTGGACCTGGAGGCTGTGCTGCGGACGGGCGCGGTTCAGGCCAAGCGTGGACTGCGACGTGGTCAGGCCGTTCTTGACCTCGCGCTCGCTGCGCTGGATCATGAGTGTGATCAGCGAGCGGCGCGACGGCAGGTGCACAGTCGAGTCGACGCGCTGGAAGAGCGTCTTGTCGTCCATGCTGGAGCGGCCGCTCTCCTCGTTGGAGTCTTCCCAGTCCGACGAGTCGTCGTCGTCATCGTCAATGGCGCTCTCGTCAATGTCGTCCGACTCGGAATCGTCGTCGTCGGAAACCACTGCCGGCGCGGGGATGGCGCGCGTCACAAGCTGGCTGCTGAACGACGTCTGCTTCTTCTGCGAAAGCGAGTGGCGCGACAGGTGCAGGGCGCTCTTCAGCGAGCCCTCCTCGTCGGGTGTCGGCGTCGACTTGCGCTTCAGCATCTCGGACATGGCGGACTTGCGCATCTCGAGGCTGCGCGACGGGTCGCTCATGGAATCCTCGCAGGACGACGAGCCGCCCAGGGCAAATGTGGCCGCCTTCTTCGACTGCACTTGCTTGGCAGCAGGCTCCGACGTTGGGTAGGGAATGACATCCTCGTCGGCAGACGCAGCCACCTGCTCATCGGACGGTGGCGGTGTCAGGATCTGGGGAACCACAACGGGAATGTGCGATGGCGAAAAGCCGCGGATCACCTCCGTGGTCGACTTGCTCTTCTGCAGAGGCGGGGTGCTCGGGGTGGCTACCTCCTCCTGCTCCTGCTGCTGCTGCTCCTCCTCAACAGGCTCGGGTGCCAGAGCCGGGAAAGGCTCAGCAGACGGGGCTGCAACCGCCGACTCCTCAGCCTCAGGGGTCGGCTCTGGCAGAGCCGACTGGGACTCGGAAACAGGAGCAACATGTGTCTGTTCTGGCTGCTCAGTGGCGACGGGCGACATGGAGGGAGAGGGTGAAGAAAACTGCATGCTGGAAGAGACGTCACGGAGTGGGCCCTTGAGAGGCTCCGTCTCCTGAACAATGGAGACGACCATCTTCTCGAGGTCGTCCGAGGTGATGTGCCGTTCACGGCCACGGCTACGGCTGCTGCCGCACGAATCCTGCCTACGTATCCGCGGACGCGCAATGTCCACGGCGCTCGACTCGGACGAGAACTCAACAGCGTCCTCGTCGGCCAGCGACTCGACACTGCCGGACAGCTGGGGCACCTCCTCTGTGGACGGGTTACTCCGGCGCGGAATGGTGGTGGGACGTCTTGGGGACGTGGGCGCAATGGACGCGCTCTCGTCGGAGGAGGCGACAGCAAATGAATCGGACGAGCTGCTCGAGGTGATGCGCGCGGCAGCCTCGACACAAAAGGTCTCGCGCGTCCAGAGGCGCCAGCTGAGGTTCTCTAGCCGGCGGCCCTGGGCGACGTTGTCTGCACACCTTGCGAACACTGGGTCTACGCGTCAGTATGCCACATAAGAAATTAAGACATCAAGAGCGGACAGGGCTAGTGTGGAAGAGGATTGGACACTCACCAGTCCACATGCTGAAAAGGTTCTGGGGGTTGGAGGTGTCGACCTTGTGGATAACATTGGCATCCACCTGGAGCACAGGTGCGTCTAAAGACGACGGCATTGTGTCGTCTGTGATGGTGGACTGCGAAAAAGACACGGTGACGGACGAAAGAGAGAAAGATGGGGAGACGAGAGTCTGTAAGGGTGCGCGTATGCGACGACCTGGGACCGAAGAAGGAGATGTTCAGTTCGTAAGTCGACGTCGGCGCTGGATCGTTTGAAAAAGATGGGTGTTCTCCAAAATGGACAATGAAGATATAAACGGCACCGGATGCTCTCGAGCGGAAGATTGTCGAGAGAGCCTTTTACTCAAAGGATTGCACGGTTCTTATACAACAGGTTGAGCGTCCAAAGAGTCGTCGAGTCGAGAGTCGTGAGAGTCGAGAAAAATGACCAGAAGAGGCGTCTGGAAAATTACGAGAGAGAAATTCGAGAGGGTATATGACACTTCGAGCCAAGACTCTCAAGTACTCGTACGTGAAATGTCGTCGTTTGGGATTCGATCGTAGAAGCCGAAAGAAGACTGTGCAAGAGGCGGCGGTGGGCGACGAGGTGAGTGGTTTGCGATGTTGTTGAAAAGGGAGGAAAAGAAAGGGCGCTGTGATGTGTGGGGGGGGGGAGTATGTATATGTAGGAGGCGAATGTTAATTATGGTCCTGGGCGGCTGGATCGAGAATGAGCGAAAATGTGGTGGTGGGCGAGGTGGTGGGAGGGAAGGAGCGATTTAGGTATTGGGACTTGGGGGTGTTGGGTCGGTTGGGGGGGGGCGTGGGAAAACTCAAAAAGAAAGAGGGCGGGCGCGGGATGTGATGTGTGTGTGGTCATGGACCGAAAAAAGAAAGAGCCCTCCCAGACTCGCGGTGAGGTAAAAACATTCCTACTCCACCCAACTGATCCGTTTCTACAAACGACAGGGGAGGTACGTTCCTGTGAGAGGTGGCCCCGTCCCACCATATCGTGGCAGCAGGGGGGGCAAGAGCGAGGGAGGGAAGGGGGTAGCCACTTCCGGCAGATTACGCTGGGGTGGCGACAGACGGACTGCAAAACGGAAGGCAAAACGGAGGCTTTGGGGTCAGGCGGCCGCGCAGAGAGAGTACGAGGGCCAGGCCCCGTTCGGGGCGACCACTTCTGCCCATCTGACTCGAGCAGAACGGAGCCGTTGCCCAAAGAGGCTAGGCTGAGCCTACAACGTCCAGCAAGTTTCTAGCGGCAGTGCGCAGCGGCAAAGGCACAGTTTAGGCCATAGGCGAGGAGGGAGGCGCTACGGTGAAAGCAACAAAAATCCCCCGGCGAGGTAGAATGAAGACTACGATTTCGACGAAGGGCCGATTGGGGCGTTTTTGGAATTGGAACAGGGCATGTGCTGTTTTGTATATTTGCATAAATCGTACGTATTTCCCATTTCCCCGTCAAAGCGACACAGACTCAGACAGCTAGCACGATGTGCCCAGATGAAAGAGACCGGACTTTATGTTGTTCACGCAGATGATCTTTCATTCATCTCTTTGAAATGGTAGTCCATCTCGACGCAAAGGAGCATTTCAACGACCGCAGAACAAGACGCCATGATTCATGACGGTCCGTGATTGTTGTCATCGTTTGGCACGAGTTGGGGGAGAGGACGAAAACGGAGGATTTTAGGTGGTATTTCCTCTTACGGTTAGTCAATGACTGGAATGCCTCTTTGGGAAACATAGCTGGCCAAGGCGTTCCTGGACCCCCAGGAGCCGGTCACATGATGGGTAACCGTTTTTGCGTTTTGCGGGCCTCGGAGCCAGATGGTGAGGCCCCACCACTTTCTAGACCGCGGTCACGAGACAGCTCAGATACGGTGGGAGGCCGTCCCGTTTCGTGCGAGAGCAAACTGAACCCCAGCGGTCCAGACGGGCTACAGAGCCGGTTACCCAAATAGCCTTTGCGCGCGGTTCACGTATGGGACTTCGTCACGAGGCAGCTGACCATGGTCTGGGCTTTGCGCGTCTTTGTCATCGTGTCTTCGGTCATAAATTGCCTTTTCAAGCATCGTTTGTCGTTTGTCGTTCTCCTGGGGGAAGTGATGGAAAAGGTGATGGCAGTACACGCAATTTGCCATACGTGATTTTCGTTTGCTGGGAGACGAGCATCGTCATGTTTTGTTGGGGGTTGAGAGTCTTGCCTGTCCTCATTGGGCCCTCATTGGGCCTTTATTGGCAGCATTGGCAGCATATTGGCAGGGCGGGAGCACACAGGAGCAAGCAGCACCATTGCTGTTGGCACGCCCTCTCGCGGCGCACATCCTTCCCCAGAGGCAGACGTTGAGGCTTCAAGCTCGTTTCGCCGCCAATGGTACGCGCGCTGGATGGATCGTCACAGTCACAAACATCATCTCAAGTTCGAGACACAGCCCCTTCAGTGTCCTGCAGTGATCCCTGGCAAGCATACGCAGTGTCATTACTGGGCCAGTGGGCCTCTGAGCTGATTTCGCTCTGCCGTGCGGAAAACTCATCCCATCACTGGGCGGCAAAGCAGTGGTTCTGACTGGGTCAGAGGCTGCTGCCAGTCTCCCTCTTTCTTGTTGGATTCTGCATCTTAATATCTTACCCCTTCCCTGGTGATGTTGTGATTGTCCCACAGCCGAGTTATGCTGGACATGACCAGACTTCCGCCACCCCCGCCGCCAATTCCCGTTGTGACTCTGTGATGACTGGGGTAAATTCATGCTCTGTAGCCTCAGACGAGAAAATGCCAGCAGGTGACCTCCCCAATCCTTTCGTTTTCATAACGAGTGGGCAGTGTACCGTTTTCACAGCTACTACTTCGTAAGCTTTCTGAAAGTGCGGCTAGTGTCTGTCATTCCGTCTCACGCAGCCCAAAACGGAGAATGCAAAGCCGCCAAAATCAGTCATGCGCTGCCTCGTGATCTGTTTGGAAGGAGCGTGACTGCGGCCATTTTCTGTTTGTTCTCTTCCCTTCTCAGTAGCGGCTTCTCCTTACACAGTAAAAGCTTGCCTGCATCCCGTTTCCTTGGTTTTTGCTTATGCCATTATGTCACAGGGCGCTCACGCGGCCATTGTTCACTTTGCCTCATTGTTCGCAAATCGGCAAATGAGAACGCGCCATATGGACAACAATGAGCGGGAACGGCGAGCAGAACATGCAAAAAAGCATGGAAAACTCGACCCGGCGACCAACAGACAGACCGTCTCTTGTGGTGGTGGTGAAGCTAATCAAGATGCTGAAAAGAGGCGTCAACTTTGACTTGGCTGTCAAGAGGGTCGGCACGATCTCGACACGCAGAACGGAGCACGCGAGTACGCCGCAATGGCAAGAAAGTGCGAAAGGGGCCTCAGTCGCAAGTGCGACTGGAACAGGCGAGCAAAAGGTGGCAGAGACCAAAAACGTGGCTTTTGACAGGAGGAGGGTGTGAAGAAGCAGCTCAGCAGCTCAGCAGGCACTAAAGCTGAAAATACGGGGAAAGTCCACCGTTTTCGGGGGATTGCGAGAGCAGCAAGGCAAGGCACGACTAGAACAAGTAGTCTTACCTGGCAGCCCTCTACGAAGCCCTTCGGTAGTCGGGCAGTGGCTTGGAGGCGTTCGGAGCATTTGCCTACCCAAGGACCCTCTGTTAGTGGGTAACCCACCTATTTGGGTGGATTCAACAAGTGTCCTGGAAATCCCGAAAACGTACGAATTACTCCGCACTCGAGGAAACCAAAGGACACAAGAAAGTCACATCACAAGAGAAAGAACGAAAGACGAAAGGAGAAGGGTGACGAGAGTGTGTTGTCTCGAGATGGCTTTCCAAAACACTCCCAACATGCGGCAACAGTTCATTTGGTCTTGGGACTTTGCTGTGGCATCATGATCAAATCTTATTTACTTTCCTCTCATCCTCTGAACTTGGACACAAACTATCCCCGGCGGAATGGCCGTCACCACTCAAAGCACTGTAATTACGACTCATGTCATGTGAAAGGACAGCAGAACCCTCGAGTTTCTCGACCGGCGAGTCGACTTCTTACATTTTATTTATACTAATAACTAATACGCAACCTCCTACTGGCACCTCCCCGAGGACGCCACCGAAATGAACCCCGAGAGCAGGGAAGTAGAAGAAGGACAGGAATGACAGGCATGACATGACAGGTAGACAGGCAGCCCACAGCAAGGACGCCAACAGCCACTATTTCTACAACAACACAGTCCAGCTACGTGCACTAAAGCTTAGCGGTCTTGTCCCAGCCAGATCCTTCCGTCCGCCAGAAAATGGGCCGAAAAACGCACCTGCCTTCGGGAGAACATGTTCCCTGAAAAACAAGCAGGAAGGAGGAAGGTGCACACGGACAGGTCACCTGTGTGCTGTAAATTGCCTCGTCGTCGGGACGGAAACCCCGCAAGCCTCTCGCATTGTCAACCTCTGGTCTTTTGGGTTGGTGGCGCGCAGGTTCGACTGTCCCGATCAAGACCGCCTCTGGACAATTACGAGGTAGCCTTGAGCATTAGCCGCTCTTCAAGAGAGCCCGCCATCCGGACTTTTCTTTGTTCTTTGTTCCGTATCGAGTTCCGTATCGAGGACAAAAGGAGGGAAAGTACGAAGGGCGACATACGCGGGACGGAACTAGGTCCTTCTGCATTCAGTGACGGCTGTGGACTAGCACTTCACTGGCTGCCCTTCGCTCTTTCTCTCGCGGGAGAACGGTTACGCGGCTCCGCATTGTCTGGATTCGTTTTCTTCGCCTGCCCATTCTGTGGGGACAACGGACACTATGATGTACATGTATTTATCAGGAAATGTCACATATTTTGTAGTAGCGACAGAAATTTAGAGACAAAAAAAATAATAGACGAGCCTGACCCAAACTTTCGGGATATGGCCGTCCGACCGACATTGTGCCGCTGGATGCAGGTCCAGTTGCGAAAGTATCTAGTATGGCGGAAATGGGTAAGAAAGAAAGACGTCTGTTACCAGATATTTGCATCCAGAGTAAATCGTACCTAGTGCGTCGTATTCCTCCGTTCAATTCCTCGCCGGCTCGTGGGTTTTACGGCACTCAACCAGAGGCGTCTCGCCTCCGTGGCCCG